CAGGGGTTGGAACTGGAGGAGCTTTAAGGTCCCTTCCAACCAGTCTGGGATTCTGTAAAATCATTAAAAAGAATTGCTGCGTTAGGGTAGGGAAATGAAGTACTTCTGTGATCACTGTAAAGAAGAGCAGCTCAGTAATGGCTAAAAAAACCTTAAAAGCAGCAGGTCATTCTTGCTGATGTTTCTGGAGGTTATCTTTCGTACCTTTGGAATAGAAGACATGTCCCATTGCCTCTGCCTGCATGCACAAGTGGCTGGCTATGCTGATGCTCTCTCTGTTTGAACTGCATGACATGCATTTGTATTTCTGTGAAATAAAGCAAGGTTTTCCCATGACTTCCCTGTGTTGTGCACATCTCTTTGTCCCTGGAGTAAAACACCTGAATTATCATCCAGCTGCTTGGTTCAGTGCAGACTATTACATCCTCTAATTCAGCTGGTGTCAGGCAGGACATGCAGTGGGAGCACAGGAGATTCCATCTGGACATTAGGAAACTCTTTTTCACCATAAGGGTCATGGGCACTATCAGGGGTTAGTCACAGAGGATATGGAGTCTCCGTCTTTTGAGATACTAAGAACTCATGTGGATATGACCCTGAACAGCCAGCTCGGGGTGGCCCTGCTTGAGCAGGGGATCGGACAAGACTTCAGAGGTGGCTTCAGCCTCATCCCGTCTGTGATTGTGTGAAATGCTTTGTGGACAGGATACCCTCAAAAGATCCAGTAACCCCAAAGTGAGAAATTATGGATACTCTCATCAAGATATTCTGTAGAGTCAGTAATGTGTTGACTTTTGATTCCCAAATATAACGTTTTGTGCTACGAGTAGTGAGATCATGTGTGTCTGTGTTTCTGTAGACACTTTTTGAGTTCATGACTCATGACGTTGATAATACCATGTGTTAAAAAATACGTGTATTGCATCTTCAGGAAAAATAAGTTTGGGATTGACCCTGTGACTTACACTGGTGGGTTTTTGGGGTGGGAGAGGTTTAGTCATGACCTCTGAGGCTGGAGAGAAGCTGTGGCTGTTTAATGAGAAACTTAAAATGAGATGCTTCAGTGTGTGCTTACAGCCCAGAAACCAACGGTATCCTGGGCTGCATCAAAAGGAGCTCTTGTGATGCTCCCTACATGGAGCACTGTGGGCAGTTCTGGTGTCCTCAACATCAGAAGGATGTGGAGCTGTTGGAGCAAGTCTAGAGGAGGCCACAAGGATGATGAGGGGCTGGAGCACCTCCCATATGAAGACAGGCTGAGAATATTGGGGCTGTTCAGCCTGGAGAAGAGAAGCTGCATGGAGAGCTCAGAGCAGCTTCCAGTGTCTGAAGGGGGCTACAAGGATGCTGGAGAGGGACCTTCATCAGGGACTGTAGCGATAGGACAAGGGTGATGGGTTCAAACTGAAACAGGGGAAGGTCAGGTTAGATCTAAGGAAGAAGTTCTTTACTGTGAGGGTGCTGAGACGCTGGCACAGGGTGCCCAAAGCAGTGGTAAATGCCCCATCCCTGGCAGTGTTTAAGGCCAGGTTGGACAGAGCCTTGGGTGACATGGTCTAGTGTGAGGTGTCCCTGCCCATGGCAGGGAGTTGGAACTTGATAGTCTTAAGGACCTTTCCAACCCAAACCATTCTATGATTCTGTAATGTCTCTTGTTTTGGTCTCTTGCAGCGTTTGTCACTCTGCTGAATGGAGAGCAGGCACAAAGCGCCATTCGGAAGTACCACCAGTATTCTCTTCGGGGAAAAGAGATCTCAGTGCAGCTCCAGCCAACAGATGCTTTGCTGTGCATTACCAATTTACCCACTTCATTTACATTGGAAGAGTTTGAAGAACTTGTGCGTGCCTATGGCAATGTCGAGAGGTGTTTCTTGGTCTATAATGAAGTTACTGGCCATTCCAAGGGCTACGGCTTTGTGGAATACATGAAGAAGGACTCCGCTGCCAAGGCCAGACTGGAACTTCTGGGGAAACAGTTGGAGGAGAGCACTCTCTTTGCACAGTGGATGGATGTGAACCAGCTCACCACAAATCTTATTCACTCTAAGTGCCTTTGTGTAGAGAAATTTCAGAAAGACTCTGCTGACTCAAAAGAACTGATCCAAGCTTTCTCCCTAAAGTATAAACCTGTGTTCTGCCAGGTATGTTGAATTTGTATCTTCTGGAAGGTCAAGGTTGTGGTTTAAGTAGCTCTGTATTCACATGCTTGCCTGCTTGCTGCCTAATACTTCTGTTTTCCATTTAAATAGTGCGTGTTTCTGCATCTGCACTGTGATGTATGATGTGGTACAGTTGCTTTGTTGGTGTGGGTTTGTGGTGGTGGTTGGTGTTACCTGGGGATTCTGCAGAAGACTCCTGTGAGCACCAATACAATGTTTGTAAGACATCCCCCTCCTCATGGATTTTATTGAAAACCAATTTAGAAATATTACATCCTTTAAACTAAACGTTGATGATGGGTTTATTCATCATTCATCTCAGTAAAGAAAGCAAGTGTATGAATGCCACAAGTGCAACAGTTCAGATGATGGAGAATGTATATGTGTGTGTATAATTAATATATTTAAGAAACCTCTGCAAATATCTGGTATGTTTTTTCCCTAATTGAAGAAGATGTGGGCTGGGGATCTAGATCTCGGGATCTTGGTGCTACATCTTTTGCAAAGCTTGCAGGTACAGAAGAGTTAGATTCCTACTAGCCTTTGCAAGCGTGAAGGTTTCCTTCTCATCTTCATAGAATCAACCAGGTTGGAAAAGACCTTTAAGCTCATCCAGTCCAGCCATTGCCCAGCAGTGCCAAGGCCACCACTGACCCCTGGCACTGAGGCCTCGGCTACACGGGCTGTGAACACTCGCAGGGACGGTGACTCCAGCCCTGCCCTGGGCAGCCTGTTCAATGCCTGAGCACCCTCTGGGCAAGGAATTGTTCCCCAGCTCCAGCTAAACCTGCCCTGGGGCAGCTTGAGGCCGTTTCCTCTTGTCCCATTCCTTGTTCCTTGGGAGCAGAGACCAGCCCCCTCCTGGCTCCATCCTCCTGTCAGGCAGTTGTAGAGAGCGATAAGGTCCCCCCTGAGCCTTCTCTTCTCCACACTAAACCCCCCAGGTCCCTCAGCCCTTCCTCATCACACTTGTGCTCCAAGTTCCATGGCTTGTGAGATACTAGCCCACAAATAAAACAGTGCTCATCTAAGTGGTGCAGACCAGCATATCATAAACAGGCAGTAGAAAGAAAGCTTGCTTTATAGTCACACGGTTGGGTATGACTTCAGTTGTTGGATTGGGGGTTTTTCTTAAGAATCTTGGAAAGCTGCTCAGGGATTAGCTTCAGGGATAAGTAATAAGAGATTCTCAGCATCTCAGACCAGAAGGTCCATCAGGCTGTCTAGTCTGACCACCTGCAGGTTGTCACATTGTCCCCAGTGCTCTTTTCAAGCCCCAGTAATTTGTAGTTGGCTGAAGTCCATCCTTTTACTTGCTTGATCCAAATATACCAGAAGATGCATAAATTGGAAGTAACTCTTCCCAGAAACTGCCCGACTCTTCTTCTTTGTCTGTTTTCTCAGTTGAATGTATCTGGCTTCAGCTTCACCTCAGTGATGACTAAATTGAGGGGCTTTTGCTCCCCACTGTTTTCTTCCTCTAAGAAGGTATTAAATGCTGTCATGGAGTCACTTGCTCAATCTTTGTTTAATTAGCTGAACAGGTTGAGCTTTTCAAGTCTTTTACTTAAGAGCTGTTTTCCAGCTGTCAGGTAATCTGGAGGCTGTTAACAGCTCCCCCAACAAGTTTTCAATATCCTTCAACAATTCAGCTGAAAGATGCTGCTTTGATGAAGATGGTTTTCACTAACCTGTGCAGTTAGAGGCTTTTACCTTAGTTCTCAAATCATAATGATACATGGTGTAGGTGAGGAGGAATTCAGGTGTATGCTTTTGAATTAGGAAATAGGCATCTAGTCAAAAATACATCTAAGAAAATATTCTTGGCATGTCCACACATTACCTATCACTTGTAGAAATACACTGGGTAATAGACTAATAGGTACATTGTAGAATCACAGAATCCCAGACTGGTTTGTGTTGGAAGGGACCTTAAAGCTCCTCCAGCTCCAACCCCTGCCACGGGCAGGGACACCTTCCACTAGAGCAGGCTGCTCCAGGCCCCTGTGTCCAACCTGGCCTTGAAGCCTGCCGGGGCTGGGGCAGCCACAGCTTCTCTGGGCACGCTGTGCCAGCGCCTCAGCACCCTCACAGGGAAGAACTTCTTCCTTATATCAAACCTGAACTTTCCCTGTTTAGGTTTGAACCCATCACCCCTTGTCCTATGTACCAAATTACGTGTGTTCTCCAGAGCTCTTCCCAGAGGCTGATTTTTAGCAGTGGCATTAAAGATCTGACCACCCTCTTCTTCCAACTATTTGAAATTTATATTTCAGTTGTTTGTTTGTGGGACTTAATTGCTGGGAATAGGTTGGGAGATTTATCCAGTGAAATCTAGACGATATTCCCTCTGTTCCACACTAGTATCTGTACATCATTTCTGTTCATTTTGGGATAGAGGTTTTTGCCTCAGCTTCATTCCCTCCCTTCTCACCCCTTTTTATTTGTTTGATTTAAATCTGCTCATTCTGCTATAAACCTCTGCAAACAAAGGACAGAGCATTGTTTCACACATAAGCCTGTTTCCAGTCTGCTTGATTGATCAGTCTGGCATCTTCTCTTGGCATTAGATACAACCACAGACTTCATATCCTCCTGAAAGGCAGTGTGTATCAGTGGAATTTGCATTGTTACATGTTTCAACAAATATCATGTAGTGTGATGAACACCATTTTTGTTATTGGAGGCTTAAAACTGAACAATAATGAGTTTATAGGTCTTGCGAACTAAAATCATTGTAGCATACAGCTGTATTTACATTTTCTTTCTCATTCCTTCTTTATTCTGAAAATACATGTTAAAAACATTTCCTGGCTTGGGTTCTCCATGAGCTTAGACAGAAGTGAAGGTGTTAATTCAAGTGGATAGAGCATCCCAAATATCAGAAAAAGATATGATACTCAACTTATATCTAGCCTGTTTGAGAAAGAAACGTACTGATTTGGCTAGGCATTAACATAGGGTGTCAGTTGCCAAGTATTTTGCAAGGGATGGGTGGAAGTACTGCAAAGCAGTCCCTGAAATTCCCTGTTTGATTCAATGTGTTGTGAAATGCTTCAGTTTGCTCAGGATGAAGACAGTAACATCGGTGACTTTGCAGTGGTGGAATATGAAACTGCAGAGCAGGCAGAGAAGGTACAAGAACTCACCGATGGAATGACTATCAAAGGAAAGAGAGTGCAGGTGTCCTACTGTGCTCCAGGAGCCCCAGGCAGAAGCACGTTGGCAGCACTTATAGCAGCACAAAGGATGGTAAGATACTGGGAAATCTATTTTCAGAATGAGTTTGCTACACCTCGAGCAGCCCAAGGTAGGTCAGAGGGATTCAGCTGCTTTGCATCAGGAAAAGGAGCCAAGATTTTAGAAGCATGAGCCTTTATTTGTACCTAGTCAGCTCAATTCAGTCTCCTTCGTAGGCAAAGCACAGCCATATACTACAAGGAGGAAGGGTAAAACATGGCCATAAGATATCACAAAGTTACACTTACTTACATAGCTCTTAATAAATTTAATTTTCTGTAAGAGAAATTGTTCCAGTTCAAAAGTAACTGAAAGTGGAGTCATTTGAGAAGCTAAAACTTGGTTTAAAACAGAGGGGCAAGAATTTGTCAATTTTAAGATAAATTTCAAGGTAGGAGGAATAGTTTAATTTCATGCTCGATGAAGAAGAAAGCTTTTTACACCCAAATGTCTTATCAAATTATTTCCTAGAAAATTGGATGTGATAAGTGTTACATGAAGCTGTCTTAGATGCAGAAGCAGAACAGTTTCATTACTTCAGCTAGCTTTAGCCCACGTCTTTGTAAAAGAGATGAGTGGTGCTATTATAAGATAGTATGTGGTGTTCGTGTTAACAGTGCCTTTCATATCCCTCTTTATTGATGTATCTGTCTTGGTTTGAGGGGAAGAAAAGAAATGTGTCTCAGGAAGTTTGGGGGGAATAGTTTCTTAGGTGTTTCATTTGAGGAAAAGGAGCAGGGAAAGGAGCAGGGAACAGGGAAGATGTTACTTCTGTGTACAATGAAATGTGTATATGACCATCAGATAAGTTTGAGGGATTTAAATGTATTCTTTCTTTTCTCCTGATTCGAACATCTTTGTGTCTCTCTCAACTGGAGATGAGGAACAACAGGAAGGGCTTGCTTCCAGAGCCAAATCCAGTGCAGATTATGAAAAGTTTTAATAACCCAGCAATGTTGCAAATGCTACTGCAGCCCCAGTTGCGTGGACATGCTGTTAAACCTGGTAAGTGGCTTTAAAACAACAGAGGTAAAAAGAGAAACCCTGTTCTTGGTGTTACAAGGCTTTCAGCAAAGGAGGGAAGCAAGAATACTGCTTTAAAATCTGTGCAGATGCTGTTTCAGTGTGTTTGTGGAGACACTTTCACATTTTATGAAACCAAAAGCAAGAGGTCAATTACTACACTATTGTGTTTAGGTAAAATCTGGTGTTACCTAAAAATGTCCTCATATTAACACTGTGGTCTCTGAAAATTTGTATTAGAAATGGATGTAAAATGAAATGTCTTTTGCAGACATCGTTAAAATGGCAAGTTTAAGTCTGATTCTAGATCTGAATCTTGTAGCCTGAGCCTTTTTCCTATTGTTTCCAGTGTAAATCTTCATTCACTTGGATGCTACCATAGCTGTACACAGCATTTCATAGAATCATAGAATCAACTAGGTTGGAAAAGACCTTTAAGATCATCAAGTCCAACCTTTACAAAGGTTAATGCCATTGTTTCATAATTCAGTATTTTATAAAAGACATTACTCTGTCTTCTCATTAGGGTGGATGTGAATAAACACATAAAAAGCAATCTTACCACATTTCAAATGGTGAAAGGATTAGGAACAGATAATTTGAAGAGTCAAGTGGGGAACAGCTTAGAGTTTGTAATAATCTACTGACAGAAAATACACAGAAATGGTGTGTGAAGTGACCACTTTAGTGAAGAAACACTTTAGCTAATGCTGACCATTCAAAGCACTTTAGATAAAGCTGAGGTCTTGCAATCAACTGCAGGCGTCTCTGATTCTTGGAGTGAAACTCTCAGCTTTAGGGGAGCTCCTTGAGGGTATGTTTGATCTCTCAAATCAGATCAAAGCTGGGTGTATTGAAAAGTTTCATTTTAGTGACCTTTAGTACACTGACCGGTATCATGGAAACCAAATCTAGAAAATACAGAATAACTCTTACAAAGATTTGTACTTGCCTAATATATAATAGACTGTAACTTCTTGTGTTTCTCAAGCAGTTCTTGGAGCATCTGCAGGTTTACCTCACCTGATAAATTCAGCAGTTGGGCCGCCTTTTTTACAGCTGAATAAAGTTCCTCAGGTATGTGAGAAAATAACTTTTATCCAATAGGTACTTGTAGAGATCTCAGCATGAAAAATATACTCAAGGTTTCGAGAAATTACAACTAAAATCAAGTGTTCTTGTTAAAGCTGTCTTTAAGAAAAGCATTCTATTAGGAGTTGCCTGTGGGGATGTAAGAGCAGACTGTGCTTGCTATCCACAAGTGAGTTACTTTACCTTAACTGAGCTTTTGATTTGCTACCACCTGCTGATGTAAAGACAACTTGCCATTACTAGCAAAAAAATCCTCTTTGAATTGGAGCTCGAGGAGCATGGCACATCCATTCCTCTTGGAGCTGCTCACACACATTTCCTGTAAAGACTTGATTGTTTTATCTCACTCAAGTAACGAGCTTAGCATCATTATCTTCACTTTAAAGCTTGCAGGGACCAAAATGTGCTTCGTATGCCATAAAAAATAGTGATCTGCTGATGTTAGTACTTAGTCAAAAAAAACCCAAGGTTACGTTTAAAGTGTTCTCAGAGTATCTGTAACTCCAGATGGACATGGGAATTTCTGAAAGGTTTTCTGAACCTTCTTCTGAAAGTCTATTAGTTATTTCTTCTGTTCTTTTGGCAAACACGAACTTACTGGTCTTAAAAAAGACCAAATTAAAATCAGATCTACTCCTTATATTAAGTATAAATAGCTTTGCTATTTTTATTTTCTGCTAAAAACTGGTAGGTGAATACATTAATTTTGAATAAATACTACTTAATTTTGCCCCATCAAATGAGTTGCTTTTGTCCTGTACAATGAAAAAAGATCCATCATTTTCTGCTGGTACTTCATTTCATTGACATTTTCAATTGGTATATTTAGTCACTGCTGCTCTCTCTTCAGCCTCAGAGAGCCTTATGCTTCCTTGGAAGGCAATGTAAATGTTTTTTAATCACAGCTGGAGATAGGCATGTTTTACACAGTTAACAGTGTGATTGATGATGATCCAGTGTCTCTTGCTTTAAGTGCTGCAGCCAAACAACTTAGTGTTTTCTCTTTAGAGTCTAGTTCTCTTCCTGGGAGCTTCCTGTCATTAAATTCACTCCAAACCTGGTCTAATAGCCTGAATTTTATGGATAGTGATTTGGTTATGCCAGTTGCTTCCATTAGGCACATTTTTCTGTAACTCAGTGACTTCTTTCAGACTATTCTTTAGAGCCAGAGAACCAGGTCACTGTTTTTATTGCCTTGAAATTCAGTATTGTCACAAGATAGAGGAACAGGCAGTGTCCTGGCTTGACACTCTCCCCCTCTCCCCAGTCACACACTGATTCAGCTTCCTGTATATCTTGGTTCTGCTGATTTCTGTTGAAGGGTTTGTAAAATAATACGGTGAGAAGAAACAATATTTTTAGGATGATTATGCCAGAACATTATAAAATAATTGAGGAAAAAGGTTCAACAGAGGGGAATTTGAACAAATGGGTTATCTTTCAACTTTGGAGGTAGCATGACTTTCAACTTCATTTAATTTCTCTTAGTTACAATATCATGAGCCAAAATAATGCATTTTAAACGTTCTCAGTGATGTGTTTTCCTCAGTCATCCAGCGGTTTATTAAATCTTTATTAACCCAGGGGCTTTCTTTTGAGGATTCCAACCAAACTGATTCTCCACTCTTGTATTTCTGCAAGTTTTGCAATTGAACTCACACATTTTCTTTGTTGCCATAACCAAGTTTAGAAGGAACAACCACTAGTACTGGTGACACTAAACAGTCCTGGATGATTCCTACTGGAAATCACCAAGGCAAAATATGTAACTAATCTAGATATGGCACTTTTTTGTTTTAAATTGCACATTTGTAGTCCGAAAGACCATATTGTAGGCATAGAGAGGTTTTTCCTAGGGAATTTGACCTTAATACACAGAGACACAACCTTGGCTTGAAGACTTTTGTGAGGTGTTTTGCAGGAGGCTACAAAATCTGCAAAGCCATGCATCAGGAGAGCTGCCTTTTTGGGTTCCATCTTCATTACCTGCATTTGGTGATCTTTCCTCTGTAGCAGACCTCAAAAAAATGAGGAAGGCTATATTTGTCATGATTTGACACAGTCAGTGTCCCATGGATCTATTCTTACACTGCTGTACAAAAACGTTTGTAGAGCAACCTATATTTTGCCTGGCAAATCATGCTCAGGAGCTGCTGCCAGAAGGACAGTTTCAGGCCCATGTTCAGCTAGCACAAATCATAATACGGTTTTGTGATCAGAGCACATAATGCTGGATATATCAGTAGCAGAATCTGAATGTGGTGCTCCAAAGCTGGTGATGAACTGGCCCCGTTGTGGTGGCAAACTGGTCCAGAATGGTTTTGAATGAAAAATACTAATAGTTTATAGACTTGACAGTTTGTGGGCACTGTGATTTGTAAGCTTTTTAATGGTTCTGGAATAGAATTTCATGTAGATGGTTGCCACTAAAAAGGGGGGAAAACCACACCGGGGTATTTCTCTTTGAAAGCAAAGGTACTGTTTGGTAACTGTAAAGCAAGGGCTGAGAGTCCCTGCCAGTTACAGCTGAGTCCTGTAAGGTGTATAGATGTTTGGTGAGGATTAGGTATTAGAATTGCAGTGCAAGGTACAATGCAAATGTTGACAAACAATGAAGCCCTTATTCATAGAGCTCATAATCCCCTGAAGTCCCTGTGTCTCATCTTTCTTACTGGCATTGTAGGTAACTCCCCTATCTATAGTCTGTCTGTGGAGGCTTTAAACACATTCATTTTTCCCTGTTAGCTTAGACACAGTCTGGATTGTATTTGGAGGATACTCTTGATCCTTTAAAAGCCATCAGAAAGAATAGTTGTGGTTGTGAGGTGGAAAAAAAGGGTTAGGAGGTAGAGAAGTTAAAAAGAACTTGAAATAACTTTCTATGAGCGAAGCAAAGATTTTGTTCTGTGGAGGAAACAGTTATTTTCCTTTGCTGCATTAACTCAGAAATTATTTTAAACTTCTTTAAGCAGTATTATCTGAGAATGTTTCCAGAATATACTGTTTTCCACAAGTGCCAACTAACACTTCGTTTAATAATTCCAGAGTTCACTGCTGGGGAGTGCATCTAACTTACTGCTGCAGAGCCCTGCTCACCTACCACTGCCGCAGCAGCAGCTGATGAAGATAGAAAACATTCAGGCTAATAGTGTAAGGTCATCCCTTTAACTTCAACTGCCTTTGGACATTCTGATAACTGCTCAAACAATGTTTTTCATACAATTTAACAGTTTAGTGTACCTGAAAGGATTAACTGAACGTGAGTTGTAAGAAACGGCTCAGACAGATTGTTTTATTCATTGACACAGTTTTTTGTTCTTCCTTACAGAAGCCGGGTTTGCTGGGAGAACCTCCAACAATGCTCCTACAGACAGTACTGGGAATAGGGGTAATGCCATCAGTGAGTTCAGGCCTGGGGACCCGTGGAGAAGCTCTGAAGTGTAAATGACATTTTATTTCCTATCAAATCAGTAGAAATGCTCAACTTGAAGTGATGCCCCTTACTGTTTCCTACTGTAGCAGTAGCATTAATGTTTGAACCTTATCACTGCCCAGTAAGGTCAGCAGGGAGCTGGGCCATAACACGGTTTATAGCTGTGTAGTTAAGCAAGGTAACAAGTTTTGTATCTATAAAAACAACTGTAACCTGCTGGTTTGAGCAGGAAACAAACTTGAAATACCTTGCCTCATTGCCTGGCTTCTCTCAACTCTTTGTCAGGGAAGGAGGAGTACACTGTGAAACTGGTTGAACATTTACAGGTTGTTAAATATTCAGTTACTACCATTTTTAGTACTCTTGGAATGTGTTTGTATTTAGGACTACAATTTTGAGGGTTACTGTTTCAAAGCAGATAAATCTGAGTAGCTGAAGAGGCACCACAAATGGGGGGGTGAGGGGGGCTTGCATTTCTTTCATTAAGCAATAGAGCTTTAACATCCAGTCTGTGATGGATGTCAGTTTGAATTCCTGTGCCAGGGATGCCCTCAGTTTTTATGAGGAAGGCTCAGTTGTGATACTGCTGAGTGCATCTTTTTTTGTTTCCCCCACTGAGAGCCACACATTCTTGCAGTTCTGGATGTGAGCTAAGTAATGGTAGTAACCAGAAGCAAGGAAAAGCTTGCAGAGGGCAGGATGGGGAGGAAAGCAATGCTGAATGTCTGGATTTCAATTTTGGGGAACAGTTTCTAGCTCTTTTATTTGTCAAATCATTTTACTAATGCCAGTTGAGGTGGAGTTTTCCCCCTCTATTCCAATATAGGATCCTCTAGGATGTTCACAGGTTCTTTAAAAGTGACAGGAAACACTAAGTAACTTACTGTCATAGCGAATGTTTAGAAAAGTCAGAGTTTTCTTCTATTGTATTAGTTTTAAATAGAGTTGTTTGCTCGTGGGATGGGAAAAGAATAAAAGCTATCATCAGAATGCAGTGTGCTGGGACAGCTGTAAACCAGATCTCTCAATGTTTTTCTCATCACTTACTAAAAGCCACAAACAAAATGTTCTGATAAATCTTGTCGAACAGAAAAGTTTCTCCATTTATGGTTGACTGCAGCGTCTAATCTGACTCCAATTCCAACAGCAGCAGCAGCAGCAGGGGTGGGCATGCTGCCATTCTTCCCGAATCAGCACATTGTTGGACAAGCTATGCCAGGGCAAAATAATGCTCCAGATAAACCAGCGCCTACTGAAGCGGTTGTCTCGGGATCACAGCCCTATCATCAGACCTTAACAAATCTTTCAGCGGGAGCTTTGAGGGCTGGACATGCCAAACAACAAAACCAACTAAAAAGCACTGATGCAAATTTGGGGGTAAGGAACATGGAACACAAATATTTCCTGTTGTTAACTTGTGTTTGGATTTTCTCTTTCTGATTTTCACAAGCTGAAGAGTTAACTGCAACTGCTTGGGGTAATTCTTTGCTGTAAAATCAACCAGATCATAGGATCATTCATGAGACATTTTAAGGTCATTTCAGTTGTAAATAATAGGGAGAGAACAATAATGCTCTTTGGTGGTCCAAATGAATTAACAAAAGAATCTTTACAGTGCTGGAGGGGTTTTTTCCAATGTGTATCCCTCATAGTCTTTGATGATGAAATTATCTCAAGGGCAGTGTCTCTTTTAAAGCTTGAAAATGGAAATCATGGTTGAATCTCATGACTAATCAGGGGCAATTGTGGTGGTATGGAAGGCCTTTGGGGTTCCAGGTGGTGTCTATATGTATATATATATATATGTTTATATATATGTGTATGTAAATTTTCCCCTTTTAATTCATCCCCTCTTAGCCATAGCTGACATATTCTTAGTCTTCATCAGTTCTAAGGTTTATTCCCTTGAAGGCAGGAGATGGAGGATGATGGGATGGGATTTAAGTTGGACCAGAATGGTCTATTTTTCTCAGCAGCTTTTTCCTGTCATTAACAAATTTACTTTTTTATATAATATACATAAATACTTTGACGTTTATGGGGAAATATGTTCTTCATTCAGATCAGATCTGTTTTCCTTACATACTTTTCTGAAGCACCTGAAGTGATTAGATTATGTGCAGTATTGGTGTCTGCCTTTGCTAGACAGCTTGAACAGCTTTGGTCCTACTTCAGAAAGGACACTTTGCATTTTATTTATATACCCATATGTAGATACACATGGATGAAATATGTAGGGTGCATGTGTATACATATATGAAATGGTTTTTTATATAAAAGTTTTATTTCAGCATTTTGTTCAGTTAAAATAGATTAAACCATTAGGAGTCGAGATAATTCATTTATTTCTATGACCATTGTTTATTAGAAAAAGTTCTTTTTTTAGATCCTAGTAGATGTTTTAATTGTTTCCTTTTCTACATCAATAGACAGAAGGCCCAGTTTGCAAAACTCCCTTCCCTGACAAGACAGGCACAATCTGTGCTGATACTGAAGGGTCACACTGAAATGCCTGGATTTGCATCTAGATGAAGGATTTCAGCACTCTGTTGAAGCTTCTTCTATTTAAAAACTGGCCTCACTGTCTTTGAAGAGTTGTTGATTAATACTATTTTACTTAAAACAGTATTAATCCATTAAAATAATGGATACTTTTCCTTAATGGGCTTTGAAAAAAATGAGCAGATATAGAGTAGAACACTGTACAAATGTCTTTGAGCTAAATGTTTCAGACAAGCTATGTAACGTGCTATAGCTACTTCATCCTTACTTCAAGTATTTGTTCTAACATAAGGTAATTAAATATGGGCTCATGAATGATCAGTAAGATGTGTTACAATGGCAGATCACAGACTGTCATCTCTCCAGGGTTCATTTTTCATAGGATCCTACAATGGTTTGTGTTGGAAGGGAGCTTAAAGCTCCTCCAGCTCCAACCCCTGCCCCGGGCAGGGACACCTTCCACTAGAGCAGGTTGCTCCAAGCCCCTGTGTCCAACCTGGCCTTGAACGCTGCCAGGGATGGGGCAGCCACAGCTTCTCCGGGCACCCTGTGCCAGCGCCTCAGCACCCTCACAGGGAAGAGCTTCTGCCTTAGATCCAGCCTAAATCTTCCATTCCAGTTTGAACCCATTGTCCTTTGTCCTATTGCTACAGTCCCTGATGAAGAGTCCTCTGGGTGAGAAGAGTTGATTTTGTCTTGGCTATGTACTTAATGCTAACTCCCTGCATCTGGAGTCATTATGGTCATATTATTCCTTTACTTGAATATAAAAGGTTTTCTTTTGTTTGTTTGTTTGAATATCCTTTAGTAACTTGCAGTCTAAAGAGAAACATGCCTACAAAATTATTTGGCAAGAAGGAAGCACAGGCAGCGTGTCAGATAACTGTCCCCACTATTTATTTTAAGTTTTCCTGTTGTGTTTCATAGGGCTAAGAGTTTTTCAGAATCCTGCTGGGACACTTACCTTATATCTGACAGATGTGGTGTGAATCTCATGCAATGACCTGCCCAATTGTTTTGCAGACTCCCTTGAAAAAGCAGACTTCCCTACTAGGAGACCCACCAAAAGAAATCCGTCTTAGTACCAACCCCTACTTGAACTTGGCAAGTGTGTTGCCTGGTATATGTCTTCCAGGTAAGAAAGCATTTAGTGGTTTTGGTTGCAAGTGTCCTTGACCAGAATGTGGCAAATGGTTATTCTGTTCTGCAGGAAATGCCAGTGACCACATTTATCTTTAAGGAAATCTTGTCTGTCTCAAAACTTCAATGTAATCTATCCTCATAGTTACTCTATTTGGGTAAATTTTCAGTGTTCATGGATTTACTGACATAGACAAGCTTCTGTAAAGCCTCTCAGTTATTAGTAGCACTGATTAATTTCAAGCACAGCCTAATCTGAAGTAGCAAATCTCAGCTTTAATCCCAGAATATTGCCAAACAGTTTATACAAACCATGTATTCTTTGTGTTACAAACAGCAGTTGCCAGCAAAGCCTCTAGTCCACCACAGCAGACTGGGCTTTCAAACAACATCGTGGACGCTGCTGTGTCTCAGGGAACTACATCACAACATACAGTGGAAAACTATTTGAGTTACTCTCAGCAGCACGGGGAATACACACAGGTGAGTTGGTTTGATGCTGTCTCCTGAAGCTTGGTTTGTCACTGGGAGCTCTGGTAGCAGGATTTTTGGCAGAGGGCTGCTCTGAGATCCCTCCCTGAGTTGCTCATTGTTTTTCTCTCTGTAGTGCTAACGCACTTCTTGGTTTTGTCTGTGTACTCTTAGTGCATTTCTTGGCACACATTTGGTCCGACAGCCCTGCATGCAGTTAAACAGCATTGCCCAACATCATCAACCACTCTGGAGCACTTCTTAGGCTTTCCTACAACCAGAGCCCACCCTCTTGTTCAGATTGAACCTTGTCAGTCCTCCTCACTGATAGTTTATCTCTTTCAGTGTACAGAACAGATTAACACAAAGTACACCTAATGCCAGTCAAAAAAACGCTCAGTACATTCCTTTCTGCAGTATCATAACCATGGATAGATTGCTTCTTGGGAGCCTGAATTCATTGCAGTTGGCTAAAAAAGTACTTAGAACTTATCACTTGGCTTTTGTCTGTCTTCCAAACCATGAAGTTTTTCTCTTCCCAAGAAGTTTTAAAGTCTTCCTGAACTTTGGCTAGATCCCAGAGAAGAGTATGTTCTGTCTACCAGAAGTTCTTGTATAGCCTGGGGACTTTGTGCAGTCTCAGCCAGCTGGTTTCACTGCACCATATACTCTGTTTGATGATCAGAGCATGGCCGTTAGCATGGAGGGCTGCCCCTTGTCTGGGGGGTTTGCAGTACTAAGAGCAAGAATTGGGTTTCCAATAACATTTCCATATTTTCATTAGCCAGCACTGGTCTGTGCAGAAATATAATTACATACAAATCAAATAGAAGAGCAGGATCATAGTGATCTGTATAAAATCTGTGCTGAGACACCCGCCCTGGCTCTGATGTATGTCTCCTCCTGTCCTGATCTCTCCTCCTGTGGCAGGGAGGCAGAAACAAGCTTTGTGCTCCCCTCTTCTGCTGCAGGGAAAGCTGTGTTCCTCCCAAACTCCTGGGGTGAAGCAGGGCTGCAATGGGAGTCGTTGGGTCTGGAGGATGGAGAGGGGGCACACGGGTGGGAACAGGGGTCGTTTTGTATTAGGAGGGTCTCAGCCTGGTCAGGAGGGGTTCACTGCAGCAGGGAGCTGAGCCAGGGGCCAGACCCATCTCCTCATCAGATCAGATGTGGTGTATGTCTGGTGACAGATCTGGTGACAACTGTGGGTTACAGAAGCACAAGGTATGTTCTGTGGGCCATTGTGCTGTGTGTTCCATGTAAGCACTAACGTGGTTTTGAGTAGTTTGTTTGAATCTGATTATTGGCTTTAAATATATTTTGATGTCTCCTGGAGGTAGTTCTTAACCCTAAATCCTTAAAATACTATCCCAAAACTCAGTAGTAGTATTGTAGTATGAGTAGTCTTAATATTATCTTTAGTAACATGAAGGACTCAGATGATGTCACTGAGGTGCAGAGGTGCCACAGTCAACACTCAGCTGTATTTTTGTACTGCCTGTTCCTTCCACATGACAGAAACTGCATTGTACTTGTGTCTGCTGCCAAGGCAATGGTGCCTCGTGTATCTTCTAAGCACTTAATGTAGTTTAAATGTTTGGTTTGAGCATTATCACTGGTGTTAAGCATGTTCTGATGCTTCTTGGAGAGCTTTGCCTTTTATTCTTTCTCATGTCCTGCGAGGCCATTTGAACTGCTTTCATTTGAAGTCATCTTAGTAGACAGCTAATGGGAAGAGGTTTTCTCCTCCTTTATAGGAGGCTGTTCAGCAGTGGTATCAGCATTATGCTCAGGCATATAACCCTGCCCAAGCAAGAGTTGATGAATTTGAAAATGGAGCCTCTGAGGTGAGAAATGATTCTGTTTTCTTCCTGTCTCCATTGGCTGTTTCACCCATCAGCTGCAAGGCTGCTTTTGGACTCCGGACACATGCTTTGGTTCTTGATAGTGGCTGCTGCTGCCATTGGTACTGCAGGAATAAGGGGCTGGAGAGTGTGGGATGAATGGCACTGCATGGTCATGGTCACCTTCTGCAGGGCAGCCCTGCACAGTTACCTCCGGGATTCACACTCACGCTTCCGATTGTATCTGCCAGGAATATCCCTCTCTAAAATCCCACAGTCCAAAGTTACCTGTACAGGTCAGGAGTGTATGAAAATACTCCTGCCAGGAAAGAGCACACCATAATGTTAGTTCCCAGTGAGTGGCTGAAGGATTGTTCTCACCAAGGCCATTACATGGCCCAAGGTGTTTGTGACTAAGGAGAAACACACTTTTTTCTTTTAAGGAATTGTGTAAACCATCCCCAAATCCTTTATTTTGCTGAAGAAATTGCTGCATGCCTGAGCTGCTGTGAACTGCACGCTCCTTTTAGCAACTGAGAGTGACTCAGATGTTTTCATACCTGCTGAGTGCTCATTGCTATACCAAGTAAAAATGAATTATTAAACCTTTTCTCTTTCACCTTCTGGATGATCGTGGATCCTGTTCTGCATTTAGGAATCTACGGGTGGATCTTACCCAGACTACAGTCCCTGCTTGCAGGTCATGCCTGCACTTTACAGTGGAGCCCAGGGATCATACCAGCCAGGCAGCTTGCAGCTTCTTCCACAAACCCCATTAAATAAGGTGAGAGGAGAGATGGGCAGAGCTGTTGCAGATGCAGCCGGAGGCAGCTGCTGGTGGAAGTGCTTCTTATTTGTCTTGTGCTGCCACCGAGTGGACTTTGGACCCACAACAGGCCAAGGCGGAGCTTTGCCACTGCATCCGTGCTCCTCAGGATCCCGAGTGGCTCAGGATCCCACGCAGTTCCTGGTGGACGTGATGAAGTGTGCCAGCACCAGGCGCCCTCGGAGCCCTCCAGCACCCTGGAGATCAGTGCTCCTTGCTGCTGACAAGCACCAAACTCCACAGGCAAAGAAAGATGAGGTGTTAGAGAATGAATGTCTTGGAAGGATGCTTTAGTAGAAGGTAGGAGGGGTGAAACTAGATGAACTTTTAGGTTGCTTTCAACCCAAACCATTCTATGGTCCTATGATCTGTGAGTGTGGATGTGCAAAAACGCCTTGAAGGAGGCAGATGAAGTAGGAAGCGAACAAGGGAGGAGGAGGTTGTTCACACTGGGCTTAGATAATTTTTTTTGCCTGACTTGCAGATGTTTTGCAGTGAGTGCCACTGAGAGAAAACCACTGAAGTGGAGTTAGCAAGTCAAGGCAGTGTCCAGGTTACCTACAGCCTCCACTTTGTACTACTTGTAACTGGATCCTGGGAGGAAGAACCATTTCATTTGAAATCATAACAGACTTCAGCCAAGCTCATTGATTGGAGCTTCCTTTGTCTGTTGCACACTGTAGACCCTCAGTTTTCATATGGGAGGACTCCCACAAGGATGGGGAAATGCTATGGAAGCAGTGAGGACCAGCCTGGACTAACAGGAGGCTGGTTTAACACAGGGTGAGACAGTGGGGATTAAAGCTTTGTTCAGTCTGAACAAAGGACTTCTCGTTTCCTGAGTGCTTCAGAAGTCCTAAGGAATTCATACCCTCATGCTGTAAGTAAATCACATCGCTCCTGTTTGTATGGATGGGAGAGACCTTAAAAGCTGGATTGTCGTCTGGTTTGGAGTGGTTTCAGGCAAGTGTGCCCAACAAGCTGCTGCCTTTGTGTATCCAGCTCCAGCCATGAGACCTGTGATGGACTCGGCACATGATGTTCTGGCACTCAGAAACTCACATCTCAGACTTGGCATGAGATTCCTGGTTTTCAGAGGAGATTTCGGGGCACGTAACTGTAGCAATTCAGGGCTCCTAGACAGGAGACAAGGCCTGGCCAGAGCTGGCTTTGACATGTTTTGGCTTAAAGATGGCCAAGGCCTGAACATGTTGCCATGGGCTGTGAAATCTCTTGCTTTGTGCAGCAGAAAAATTGAGCTTTCAGGTTCCCAAAGCTCTGCTATGACTGGAAACGAGTGGAATTGTATCAAGAGGAGATGGTCTGTGCTTTGAGCTAACTGAACCCTTCAGTTTATCTCCAGTCTAAAGAGGAAGGTTTGTGGGTGGAGGTGATGCTGAACAGTTGCTCAGAGGCTTGTCTTGACGCCAGATGCCATAGAAGGCAGAAGGAGAGCGGTTGGTCCCTTGGCACAGCAAAACACAAAATCATTCCTGGAATCAGGAGATAAATCCCAGTGCAGAGGGCACGCAGGCTGGTCCCCACGAGGCTCGGTGTCAGTTCAGTGTGTGCTCATATGTGCATGTGCTTGCTCTAACCCTGTAACCTGTGTTCCCCTGCTGCTGTGGGCTGTGTTTTGGAGGGCAGAAGGAGCATGGTTGGAGGCTGTCAGAAGCATGTGTTGGTGATGCTGCGCTCTGCCAGGTGAGCCAGGGCACGTGGAGGGTCACAGTGCACGTGTGACAGCCCCATGGCTGTTGGAAGTGCAGGAGAGAGGATCGGGGGGAACTAGAAGTCTTTTCCTCAAGCAGGTTCCTATTTATGATAATGACATGTGCGTCCTAAAATGAACTTGGACTTAGCAGAGGGTAATGTGATTGTGAGTGTGAATTAGCAAGGGATGCTTCTGGGAACCACAAGGAAGGGTTTGGCTCAGGGACATTTGGTCAGCTCAGCTGGTCCTTTGATTAAGGAAATGGTGTCCCTTCTGTGACATGTGTTAAGGTCTCTCACTCACTCACTGCAGCATGAACCAGAATCCCACATCTTCTGATCTAGGAGCCAGGCTTAACCCAGGACACACAGTGTGGTTGAGCAGTCTGTGGTGAGCTCAGGTTCAGGGGGTTGCTACGGGGCAGATGTTCAGTGTTCTACAAGTGACTGTTCGAGCCTTTTGGTAATGAAATCAATGACACACTGGGGGAAAGAGAGAAGTAAAACAGAGAAGCTGTGGCTGCCCCATCCCTGGCAGTGTTCAAGGCCAGGTTGGACACAGGGGCTTGGAGCAACCTGCTCTAGTGGAAGGTGTCCCTGCCCGGGGCAGGGGGTTGGAGCTGGAGGAGCTTTAAGCTCCCTTCCAACCCAAACCATTGTAGGATTCTATGAAGTGATGAAGTCACTGATTAGGGTGGTGGGCTCTAATGTGTTTGTGCAGCTTCTAGTGCTGTCGGTGCATGGATGGTGCAACATCCTGCTGTGATGGATCCTGTAGGGGACCTGAACCAGAGCCTTGCATACCCCAAGGAGCTCTTGCTGGTGGGGCAGCCTTGGGCCCCCTGCACCCTGACCAGAAACCCTGCTCTGAGACCCTCAGCACTTCCTGTGTATCAGAGGGAGACATTTTAATTGAAGCTTTGATTAAAGAACCATTACTGCTCCCTCTTTCACTTCAGTACCACGTGTAAGCTCAGGTCTGCAAGTGGCAGACTGTTACCCTTAATCCACAGCACAACCCTGCTCTGGCTGGCTGGAAACCAAGCCCTGCAGCACCTGACTTGCTGTGATAGCTGTGCCAGGACAGTTTAACCCTTTCAGCTCTCCGTGAGAAAAGAAGGAGGAATGAAAGGTGGCCCACTGGTGCCTTACTTTAAGGGATGAAGGTGTCTGGAGCAGCATGGTGATGATCAGCATGCCTGTTACTGGACTGCTTTTTAAACACACACTGTGGAGCAGGGCTGCCTGGCCCAGCCAGCCCTTTGCCCTCACAAAAATGCATGTTCAGGGGGGCACCAGTGCATTTACCACTGGGTTTTGATAGGGAAAGGGCACAAACACTGACTCATGAGCTGTGTATAGCTGGACCTTAACGCCAAAGGAGTCGGGCCTTTGGAGTCGGTTACTGGCTCCTGGTCCTCGATAATTCCCAGGCTGGAGCTTTATTTATTGACACCATTTGCTCTGGCTTATGTGTCACTTCTTTTCTTGTCCTCAGGCAGCTCCAACGAGAAGTGAGAAGCGAGGCTCCTCGTACCTGCTTTCCCCCCCAGAGCCCGGCCCCGTGGAGTACCTTGCCCAGCAGACTCAGGGCTCCGCAGTGCGTTACGCTGAATCCTCGCTGAAGAAGAAGCGTGTCTATTGACACCGACATCACCGCTCCTGCCCCAGGGTGTGAGGGCAGGTTCTTGTACCTCTGCTATTTATTGCTGCCTTAACTTCAGACAAGTAATTCTTCTTTCTGTGTGGGTTAGAAGTATCCCAAGAGGAACACCCTCTGTAACGGGCACGTCTGCTGAGGAAGCGGTACGTATGGCGACGAGGTGAGCCGGGCCTCGGGAGTCGGACTTGCCTTCTGAAGGGAGGGGATGGAGTCTCCTTTGTCATCTGCCACTGACAGTCACAGTGGGCTGAGGCTGAGAGCACTGAGCAACTCAGTGAGTGTAGGGAGCTTCCCAGCTGAAAGCAATACAAGTCCTGAGGAGGGATTGCTGAGCCTTCCTCTTCTCCTCGGACCGAGGGAGTTAAAAGATGAAGTCTTGATAGTAATTTTTTCTTATTTTTTTAACTCAGAACGTGGGGTTTTTTCAGTCTTACTTTTTCCAGGATTAAGAGTTCTGCATTTACAGCCTTTAAATTTTTACCATATTTCCTCTTAATCCTGGAATGGAGATTATACCAAATGTATTACCAGAGCCTCTGTGATGTTTTCAATAAATGTTTGTTAAAAGTAAGATGCTACACTGTGTGCTGCCTTGCAGTAGGAAATTCAATTGGGCTGGGTGATACTTGCGCGATGCAGTAACCTCTATCTGCTTTTAGGCCAAGAACCCACAGCTTTTCCTTGGATAAGTCACTTGCAGTTTGTGAATGCAGCTGTGTAAAGTGAAGTGGTGCATGTGGTGAAGCACCAGCATCCTTCAGTGGGTAAGGCAGGTAACGGAGAGGGGACAGAAGCAACTGCCTGTTTTCTTCTGGCTTCTTCTGGATCTGGATGATTCAGCTGGAGCAGAAGCACCACCACCCTACCCCTCAGATGATGGTTTACTCCTGCCTTCCTGCTCCTCACTGTATTTATTCATCTTTTTCCAAGCATCTTACCTTTGCAACTTGCTGTGCTCCAAAGCCTCCTAGTGCAGAGCAGCCTGGCTCTGGGTTTCACTCCTGACATACTACCTTTTGCATGTAGTAGTTCTCTCTAGAGGAAACAATAGTTACTCACTCACTCACCTGTCCCAGGGTGCAGTACAGACTTGCACCCGTACACTGTGAACCACAGCACCCTGAGCAGCCGGGCTGCATCTGCCCATCTCCCCAGCTTGAGTGTATTTCTCTTTTTATATTTAAAAACTGTATTTTTAGCTTATTCATTAAGCAACTTTTAGACCAGACTCTCTCCTTCCTGCTGTTCATCCTTGTAGCTGAAGTCTTAGAAATCGTCACTTTTGAAAGCAGTGATGTTTTTGACAGGTCAGTATGAGCCAGCACTCTGTGACAGCCCTGGGAATCCTGCTGCAGATCCGTTTGGACTGAAGTCTGAGCACTTGAGGCCACAGCCCAGGTCCTTCTTAATCTTGCTGTAGGTAATACTGAAGCCATATTTAATAGTGATACTCAAAAAGCAACAAAAAAAGTCTTCACTTCTGCTTTTTAAGCTTTGTGATGTGATCAGGTTGCCTGTTAAATTAAACATGGATTTAGTTTCTACCTGGTTCAAGGCCAGGTTGGACACAGGGGCTTGGAGCAACCTGCTCTAGTGGAAGGTGTCCCTGCCCGTGGCGGGGGTTGGGACTGGAGGAGCTTTAAGGTCCCTTCCCACCCAGAAAACTCTCAGCAGCGGTGCTGGATGCCCAGCATTGCAGGTTGCAGGGGTGCTCCTGCGGTTCTCCGGTGTGTGTTATCAATGCACTTGTACTATTTTGTTCCAACTGTTTGTATATGCAAGTTTTTCAATTTATTATGCTTCTCAATGGAAATAAATTGTTGGTACACAGTTAAAGTGGATTTCTGTGGGAGGAAACCAGCTCTGGCCTAGCTTCAAAGTAATTGCTTAATGTGGGGCAAGGGTGTCTTGAAGTCAGCAGGTTCTGATGCCATTATCTTATTGTGATGCCATTATCTTATTGTGGCTTTTCAATAGGTTAAGGGGCTGACAAAGAAACCTGGAGAGGGGCTTTGGACAAGGGCTTGTAGGGACAGGACAAGGGCAATGGCTTTAACCTGCCAGAGGGGAGATTGAGGTGAGCTCTTTGAGTAACTTCCAGAAGAAGGTGCCCCTGCCCATGGCAGGGGATTGGAACTAGATGGTCCTTAAGGTCCCTCCCAACCCCAACCCTTTTGGGATGCTGTGATCCCCAGGGAAGTTAGATTTAAAAATCTTTCTTTAATTCCTGATTTAAGAAGATAGGCACGTGCAGAAAAAAAAATTTATTAATTTGTTTGTATAAAGAGTAACAAAGTGCTGACAGCTTGAAATCAGGGTCATAAGTGACATACATACAGAAAAACAGGTAATACTGTAAAAATAAATCTGACCTCCTTGCAGCTCATAATTACAATTATAAAGACATCTTTCTGTATTGCCAGAACTATCTCCTCAAAGCATTTTCAAAACCTGGGAGAACATGATGGCCCAGGTTCTAGGCCATGGGGCAGCAAAAGGTTTCCAGTTCAAGCACTATTCCTAGAAGCCTGGTGGGTTCTCAGAGCCAAGCACCGTTCCCTCACTTCACCTGCTCATGGGTTAAATGCTGAATCTGGTCCTGACACTACAACGTAGGTGGTGGTCCCAGCCCGGCCCCGCTGGATCCTCTTTGGTTCCTGAAGCCTGCCACGAGTGTGGTCTGAGTCCAGAAGCCAACCTAACAGAAGGCCAGTCACCATCTCAGGCCAAATGAAGGGCTTTAGAGAAGATCAGCTAAAATGATTTAACGTGTTGGCCAAAGAAACCATTGACCAGACCTCCCTGTGTGACGTGCGCGGCACCGCTGGTCACAGAAAGGCTGTTCCTCATGCTCAGGGTCTTCTGCTCCTTGCCCCCGGTGCTCAGTCCTTGCTTTTAGCTAATTCTTGGTGGTTGGAGCAGTCTGTACGTAGACTCCTTTTCTTTTCCATCCAAGTGTGTAATGAAGTTCACAGCACCCCAGCTCACTGGTGGTGCCGGCTGAGAAGCATTTGCAGGTTGAATGGCTACATAACCAGTGGAAACTTCAGCAGTTACAAATGGATCATGTGGGAGGGGGAAAGCAAATGGATTCATCCAGAAATGGGGTTTCTCACTGAAATGGGTAACTACATACTGAGCCATGCTTTTGGGGGGTTGCTCTTTTGACCATCGCAGTCAAGTGATTGGTTTTGACTACATGTAAGAGCTCAGAACTGCAGACTGGGTAAGACAAGCCCATTAGTTTGTCTTCTCTGGATTTTTATGCTAGAGTTGGTTTTCTGTGACTAAAATGGAAGTGCACATGAAGGCTGTTTGTCAGGCAAACTTCTTTTATACCTCAAAACCCCGTAAAAACTAACATACTGCATCAAATCCTCTTACATCTACTTACATAGTTCAGGTCTTCAAGGACTACACATGCCCAGCAGACTTGTTGCAATGCCACAGGTAGCACACAGAACATTTTCAGACATCAGAGTAGTTCACATTGTGGCAAGGCCATAATGGGCTAAAGCTAAAACTGCCTTGCACTAACAGCAGCAAGAAGAGTTGAAGCTATTGTTTCTGCCATACCTTTTAATTCACTTGATCCAACTGTTGACTAAAATTCAAAAGGAAAACTATTGGAAAAAGAATCCTTTAAAACACATTAGCACAGTCAGAGTACAAATTACAGTAGGTATTAAAAAAAACAATGAAAGGTTTTGGGCATTTATATTTTGACACACATTGAAAGTACTGACAGGATATACAAAAAATGAATTACATTTTACTCATAATTGTTTCAAATCCTTGAATCAGATTGTGAAAGGTCGTTCGTTCGTCATGCTTGAAGATCCAGCACTTCCTCATCAGCTGGTCCACCTAATAACAACACGAGAGGAGTGAAACATCCCAACCCAAACCACTCTGTGATTGATTCAAATGAATCTAAGTTCCTAACCCTGGAAATGCGCTTTGTTGCCTGGACAAAGCTTTTGGAAAGCAGCATTTTCCCAAAATATGTTGAAAAGGCAACAGATAGGATTAAAAGGCCAGGTTGGACACAGGGGCTTGGAGCAACCTGCTCTAGTGGAAGTTCTAACCCCGTGGCAGGGACTGGAGCTGGATGAGCTTTAAGCTCCCTTCAAAACACAAACCAGGCTGGGATTCAGATTTGTTTTTTCCAGTAGATGTAATGGAGCAGACTCTCACTGCTAAGAACTGAACAGTGACAGAAACATGCCTCAGATTTCGATCAGAGTTAGTCCATGTTATTAGTGGGGGGATTTTTTTGATGAAGTAAAAGTGTATGTTTGACAGTGCAAACAACTGATGCAGTGTTTGTGCTGACAGCTTGAACCAGTGCAAGAGCATCACCACAGCCCCTCCCCAGGGCAGAGCCTGGCTGTTGCCCAGCTCTCCCAAGGGCAGGAGAAGATGAGCTGTGCATGGGGGTCTGTAACTGAGACCCTGCTGAGGTGTTGGTTCAGTCTGGGTTCTACACACCCAGGAAATCCATATTTCAAAAATCAGAAGGATTCTGAATGCATTTTACATGAATCCAGACACTAAAGCAAAGTTCTTCACCCCTCTGAAGGGATGTCGCAAACTTGGCAACATCAGTGTCAGAAAGCACTTAAAAATCATGCCTAAAACCCCCAGAAATGCCTTTTTAGCAGGTTTTCCTACCAAGACTAGTCAGACCACGAATGCCTGGTGCCATCTGGTGCTAAAGGGTGGGCACCAATACAACAAACACGTGGGTACAGCCATTACCTCCTCTGGGCAGCTCGGTGGCCGTGGCAAACGCTTCTCCTCCTGCAAGACACGCACCAGCCGTGCCACTGTCATCTGCCCCTGCGTGGGGCCGATCATCTTCAGGAACTCCTGTGGAAAGAGCTGTGTCAGCCTCACACCCCCCCACCCTGCACCAATCCAGGGAGTTCCAGCTTGACAGTAACGTGAGATTTGCATCCCAAAGTGAAAATGAACAGTAGGTGCTTATTGTAGAGACGCACCAGATACTCGTGGTAGAAAACTAACGTTTAAATACAGCTTCCTCACCAGGATGTGCAGTCACAACTTGCCTCCACACAAGCTCTTTAGTGAAAGAAAACCATAAGGGTTGCTCTCGTAAGATAAAGAGATTCATCCACTTCTTCTTGTTTCCAAAAGTAATAATTTAAATATTACATATTATATCTGATTAAAGCCACTTCTAGCAGCAATTTCCTTCCCAACCACTTACTGCCATGGGGCTGGACTCCGAGTCACAGTAGGTAAGCAGCTCGTACAGTGTCACCCCAAACGACCAGACATCCGAGGCAATGTAGAACTTGCTCTGAAGCAAGCACTCTGGAGCATACCTGCGGACACAGCGGGACAGTGTTAATCTTACCCAGAGCTGCACAGATCTATTCGCACATGCACAACCCGTCTGCATTTGAAGTGAACTAAAGAGACATGTTGTGCATCTGGAGGGTCCTTGCACATAAATTAATGTGCCCACAGGGCTTGGGATGCCACAGAAGTAGTAAATGAAGGAGAACTGTTACACAGCGAGGCACTGAGAAACTAAAGGAGACTAAAAATCATGGGAATTAAGGCATTCAGTGCAGGAAGAAATAAACGGCACGGAGTAGGTAAGTGTAGTCTGCCCGGTGCCTTCTACCTCCTCTGATATTGGATCTTCATTTATTTTCCTTGCTCTGATGGTGTATATTTAGGTCTCTTACCAAAACAGGAAAAGTCTTCAGGACACCTAAAAGCCAAAGCCTGCAGGAGCAGACAAGTTACTGCACTGCACAGTCTGGTTAAAGGAAAGGAGTTACAAGTGACTACCAAAAGACAGGGCTGTCGAGGTCATCTTTGACTGTGTAGTACTCCTTGTCTGTCTCGATTGCTTTGGTGAGGCCAAAGTCCCCGATCTTCACTCTGTTCTCGCTTTCGACAAGGACGTTCCGTGCTGCCAAGTCACGATGCACGTACTGACGGGAGCCCAGATAGTCCATTCCCTAGAGACAAGAAAACCTTTACACTACTTGCTCCAACTTAAATCACTTCCTCCAGCTCCCCCTTCAAATGCTCCCTTGTCCACCTGGCAATACTCAGGTTTTCCACAGCAGGTTCTCAGTGGCGCTACAAAGGTCCTTTTCTGACCCCACTTTCGACCCCTTAATTTGGGTTCCTCCTCTGTTGAGATGGACGTTTCTGCTTTGTGCTTTTTAAGTTTCCCCTGGGCAGCCACCACCTTCAGGCCCTTCTCTCCACAGCAGCAGGTCTTTGTGTGCTGCCAGAACTGACAGTTTGTGCCTGTTTCTCCTCACTGCCCAGCTCACCACTAACCACAAACCCATCTTAGAGTGAACTTTCAGGCAGGGGAACCTGGTAATTCTTCCTTAGCTGAGCTTTGTGCCAGTAGCACCTGAAGCACGAGAGAGACTCCTTCAGGATTCAGGTCCTTGGGACAAAGGAGGGAGAATGGTTTTGTTCATCAAGCAAGGCTCTCTTCCCACTCCCTCTATTCAATTAAACATTTAACTGCTCAAGCAGAAGAGCTGCAGGAAGGCTCGTGCCAGGCTCACCTTGCAGATCTGAACCGCGTATCGCAGAAGCTGTTTGAGATTGATTTTGTTCTTGTTCCGTGGCAGATACTCCTTCAGGCTCCCAGAAGGAAGAAATTCCATGATCAGTTTAATTCCACTTCCACCTAAAAACAGGGCGAGTGTTTAACGTGACCCTTCTCACATCATTAACACCAGTAACTTTCGGACAAGCCACTGGCAGCATTTGTAATGGTTTTTGCATGACCGTGGCCAGAGACTATGGGCTAAATCCCAGTATCAGTCCGTGCACAAGACAGTGGAGAATCTATTCCAGGCAGGATAATTATTGAACTTAAAGTTCTTAAAGTTTTTAATATTGGCTTAGAACAATCACTGCTGAAAAGCAAAACTTTAAGAGAACAGAACTCCCTGCTATGAATATCAGATGTTCTTATCAACACTGGGTTGTATCAACAGTGACCTCTGGCTTTAAGGGGTGATGACCAGCTCACTCCTGAACAGACCCCACCACCCTGCCCAGGTGCTCATTTTTGTGCAGATTTGGTGAGAACATCAACCACGTTGCTCACACCCAGGTTTGCCAAGCACAGGTAGGGGCAGGAGAAGGGCTTCAGAGATAAGCCCTGGGGGACACTGGCACAGGGTGCCCAGAGAAGCTGTGGCTGCCCCATCCCTGGCAGTGTTCAAGGCCAGGTTGGACACAGGGGCTTGGAGCAACCTGCTCTAGTGGAAGGTGTCCCTGCCCGTGGCAGGGGTTGGAGCTGGAGGAGCTTTAAGGTCCCTTCAACCCAAACCAGTCTGGGATTCTATGATAAATTGCTGCTTTTTGTGAAGAAAGTGATTTAAACTCGTAAGATTAAACTAAGACTGTTTTGCTTTTTAAAATGCTTCATTTTTAAAGGAACCCCTTCTGCTTCTAGTGTGAACTTTTAATAGTCTACATGAAGACTTACCATCTTCTGTGCAAATTCCCTTGTATTTGACAATGTTCTCATGATAAAGATTCCTCAAGATCTCTATTTCCTTCTTGAGATCAGCGATGTGATTCCCTCCACTCTCTGGCTTCAGGGATTTAACTGCCACTTGCTCCCCTGTATTGTCACCTTCTGGGTCGTATCTGCAGAGTTCCACCTTGCCAAAGTGGCCCTGATTGTAGAAGAAAGAAGGGAGAGTGTTATTTAACACAACGCTTGCTAAGCACAGTGTTACTGACGCGCTGTTTCGGGCGACTCCCATCTTCCTGTAGTGACACAGAAAGCACACGCAGCTGTGTGCACACACACATCTCTATGTTCTGCTCCTGACGTTCCTCTTACCTCTCCCAAATCACGGATTCTTTTCAAGAATCGCTTCTCAAAGACAGTGGGATCCACCTCTGTGAAGGGCTTCTTCTCCGAGACGATATCAGGATCTAGGGGTGGAAAAAAGTCCCAGGTCAGACAGATTCCTGCCAGGACATCTTGGTCTTGACACTTGAAGGCATCCTTGCTCACTTCCAATCTGCTGTTCTTGGTGTGTCTATCCCTGCTGTCACAACTTCCCTTATTTACATCCTGCCTCCTGTTTGACAGGGATTTCCTTCCACTTGTACGTGCCAGTCTGGCACTTGCTCATCTTCCCCCTCGCCTTGTGGGTTGCTTGCTGGGTCTTTTTCCCGAGTGATTCCGTCTCCTCTTGATACACTTCCCACCTCTAGTAGTTACTCAGCTTCCATGATTATTTATTATGAGGTATGGGAGGGAAAATTATGCCCTTTATTGACTGACTGCTAGTTGCTCTGTAGCAACTTCAGCATAAGATGACCCAGGAACCAGAGCTATCTGAGCCCTGTGGAGATCTCACGGAGCTCAGAGATTGGAAATAAAGCTGTTGTTTGAAATATGGACCATCAAATGAAATGGCAGCGACACCAACACAACTGCAGCATGAATTAAACACCCACATCCCACTTGCACTCATCTGTGGAAAGGGTTAGTTCCATTCCTGCAGGGACACCACGCTCCTGTCATCAGTACAACCAGACACACAGGAGAATGCTGCTGGAAGGCATTGGGACTTAGCCAAATAAAGCAGCCATCCTTATCCCTCCCTGCCCCTGACCAGCAGAGCCAAGGCCTTACTTTGTTCCTCCAGCTTGTTGATGTCTCTCATGATCGCTCTGAAGAAGGGTCTCTGATGGGGGTCGTAGTTCATGCACTGCTTCATCAGGTCAGCCAGCTCCTTGCACGATGGTGTTGCCAACATAAAATGCCCCTCATAGAACCTCTCCTTCTGTAAGGCACAAAAGGAAACTCCTGCATGAATTTCAGCTTTTAACTTAATACACTCATGTTCTACAGCAGAAGATGTGACCATTAGGTCCTTAACCTACTGTGAACTTCTACTTAACTTTGCCAAGGAAATCCTCGTCTTTAGCAATAACTCTAAACCATCTCCTACCCATAGAGAATTATTATTGTGCTAAATCTGGTGTAGTTTGGAGCAACCACTTAAAACACACGAATTTTCTACAACACACTGAAGATTTCACCTTTCAGAAGTGGTTTTCCACCAAGTTTACCACGTTACTTATGCACTAGGACAAATGGCTGAGTGGAAATGCTCACCAGGGAAACAACACACAGTGGCTGCTCCTCACAGCCCCTGAGGAGGTACCAGCTTTGGGGTAGATGGGATGAGGATGGGCTTTTCTAAGTTCTGCCTGCCACATGCAGGAAGGGGACTGCACCCAGGGCAGCAAGTTCCTTTCAGCCACCTCCTGTGACAACACCTCAGGCAGTGACTCAAGGACTCAGTCATTTCCTTCAGATGAGCAGCAGCTGCTTTGCTCCATCCCCTTCCCAACACAGCAACACTTCAAGAGAGAAAAAGCACATTTGGAGCACATGCTGAGGGACTCCAGCAGCGCTGAACAGACACTGCAGCAGTGAGGCAGGATGAGGCTTATTTAATGTCTTTTAGATTTCAGAGTGTCCCACAGGAGACTAGTTCTGAACCAATGTCCAAAAGATACAAGCAAGAACAGAAGAACCTAACTGCTTGTAAGCAGAACCTCCATCAGTTTGTAACTGGGCACAGTGGTTAGGAAAGGGCACGTGTGAGAGCAGCAGCAGTTCTGTTCAACTGTTTGAAAATGCCCAGCAAGGTCAGGGTGAAGCAATAATGAGCAATTTTTATAGTAAGGACAAGATTTTTTTTACCTGTGGCAATTTACATGGATCAGCCCCTTACCAAGTCCAGCTGAGCTGGTTTTCCTACAAGTCAAAAGCAACTCAAGTTGGGTACGGAAACTGCACTGCCGAAGAGGCTGTACCCGAGATGTCAAGGTAAGGTTTATGTAACAGTTTTACCTCTGCTAACGTCTTGTCTTTCAGTGGTATCTCTCCATTATAGCAGATTTCCCACAGGGTTGTACCAAAACTCCACTTATCTGCTGCAACACTTAAATTTTTGGAGTCTTCAACACATTCAGGTGCAATCCAGGGGATTCGCTCAACGCATTCTGAGATCAAACACAGAACAGACGCATTCTGGAGTTAGTATCAAAGGACTGAATAAACAACCTTCTAACTCAGTTATTCTTGTCTAACACCTGCTTAACTAACATAAACTAAAGCTGCACTCCTTGTTCACCTTCAGGGAAATCTTCACTCTCAAATCCCTGTTCTCAGAAGGGTGTTTCTGTGGCTTTTACAAGCTCGTGCCTTGAGCCATCCAGAAACTGAGACTCCTTCTGTATTATTGCACTTGACTTAACATGACTTTTTAAGAGAAATGAGCACAACAGGCACCCACCATCAGCAACACTCCTTACATTTCAGATCCCTGAAAGCCAATTACTGCTATTCCAGAGCCAGTTCTAGCTGGTATAAATGGTATTTGTATATTCTTAGGCAGAAGCTCTTCCCTGTGAGGGTGCTGAGGCGCTGGCACAGGGTGCCCAGAGAAGCTGTGGCTGCCCCATCCCTGGCAGTGTTCAAGGCCAGGTTGGACACAGGGGCTTGGAGCAACCTGCTCTAGTGGAAGGTGTCCCTGCCCGGGGCAGGGGTTGGAGCTGGAGGAGCTTTAAGCTCCCTTCCAACACAAACCATTCCATGATTCTGTGATTTCTTCCTTCCCCACCACACCGAAGAGAGAAATCCAATTCCTGTACCCTACCTTGTCTGCTCAGCACAGTTATTGGTATTCCCGGGTCACTCAGCTTTATGAAAGGACCATATTCAGTGTCAATTCCCTCTCTTGCCAGTAGGATGTTTTTAGTACACACATTTCCATGTACCAAATCCTTATCCTCCTGCGGGAAGGAAGGAAAAGAACAGTGAGTGCAGTTCTCAATGCTCTGCAAGTGCTCTGAGCTACCTACAGCATAGGGGAGCACTGAAAAATACTCCAAGCTGAAATCTAAATGTACAGCTTGAAAGAAATTATCCTAGAGAAAAACAGGGAAAGGGGGAGTAGGGGAACCTACTGTTCACTCTTATGCACCATAATATTCCCTTCTCCACAACAAGCATCATTGCAGGCATATGGCCTGTTTGGCCTGCTGATAAGAAGGAGCTCATCACCTCCCCTGAGAGTCTTTCTCCTTATTTTAAGCAACAATAGGAATATAAAAGGAATATCCCATACATTGTACAGTCCCACTGAGAAAGCGAATTCATTAGTTACTAATGCACGTGGAACCAGCAGCTACAGGCAATGCTTTTGTCAAGAGGTTTCTTACCAAGTAGCTCAGTGCACTTGCAAGTTGTTTGGCAACGTTGAACTTCCAAGGAGTTGTCAGAACTTCACTTTTCCGATGCATAAACAGATCCAGAGGCCCAAATTCAACAAACTCTTCAACCATGATGTCTACAAAGTGAGGAACATAAAGTCAGTATTGCGAAAACTGGTGTCTGGAGTGATCTAATGGCCTGTTACCATCTTCCTCTCTCCCCCAGGCTCAATGGTTAGGGAATGTCTTCACTTCACCTTCCCCAAAGGTAATTTAAGTGCTGAGCCCAAATTAAAAGGCTGAGACGTGTGGCTTTATGTAGTAAAAGAACAGTAAACCTGAAGCAAAGCATTTCAAAGACTACAGGGCAAAGCCTTCCAAGGGCAGTAACTTCTGCCAGAAGGCTGGTTTGTATGGACACTACCACTATCTTTCTGGCATTCCAACCTCAAGGAGTCATCCCATAAGGCACTTATTCAAAGACAGAATTGGAAGAGGAAACTTGTTAGTAGAAAGGACTCTGCAGATGCCTTGCTGTTCCACTTCCACTTCTGGCTGCACTGAGAATTGAGGCAGCAACTGCCATCCCCATGTCCCCTCGTGCCAGCACTGAACTGAATGATGCCCAGTCCCTGCCAAGCCTGGAGAGATGTTCCCAGAACTCACTTTCAACGTTGCGGACGCAGACTCCGTGGAGGAGGACGATGTGCTTGTGAGACACCTGCCTCATCATACTTGCTGTTTCAAAGAAAGCCTGTTGGAAAGTGGAAGAGGTCAGCGATGAAACTGCTGGTCACTGTCACACTCATCCAAGTGTTTAACAGCTGCAGAGCATCCCCTAACAGAAACATCCGTGGAAGACCCCTGTGTTCTGTAGGAACCTACAGGGTCAACAGCGGTGGGGATGTGCTTATGGTCTGCCTGTGTGCAGGCTGAAGTCAGTGCTGGTGTGCTCCAGCCAGACCTGGGGCTGCTGCCTAATGAGTACCTCCGAAATGCTGGTCAGTGATGGATCTGACTGCCTAAAAGGGTGAGATACACCTTCAACATTTCCCATCCCCTTAATATATGCACAACCTCTGCTTTTAAAGGCTTTTCATAGTTAAACCAAGTACGAGTGAGGCCACAGCTGGAGTACAACAGACAAAGAGGAAAACACTTGCCAAAGAAATGTCCCTGTGGCTGGGGTCCAAGACTTTGAGGAGCACTTTAATCTCTTTTTCATTTTGATAGCCTTCATTCTCGTCATCTTTGTAGTTGAGGATCCCTGAGTAAATCTGTGTTCTCGTCCCTCTTCCAAGATGTTCATCCTAAGACATAACACACAATAGATGTTTCAAACCAGGACATGAAGCAAACAAGGGTAGATTTACACCAGTATCTGGATCTGCACTCTATGCTGCCTCTCCAAATAGAGTGGACTTAGCCCTCCACTTGATCTAACACCCTACAGGCTTACAATTAGCACAGTGAGAAGCTAAGGCAGTGTGTTACCCTTTGCTTTAGTGGTCTCTCTCAGCATACTCACCACTGGAAACTCATCTGATACAAAAGGGCTACTATATCTCCATTAACATCACACAGGTTCAGTGTGATTTAACATTATCAGACTAAACACCAAATGAATAAATAATTACTGGCCTCTTATTTACAATAAGCTGCTATTGAGGCAACCTTTAATGTCTTTCCAAAAGTTGGAGGAAGTAATACTTCAATGGAACGCTTTGTTTGGGAAAGCAATTTCCTCCTAAAATAACAGAGGATGCTGCTGTGGGATATTGTTCAGGAAGCCTGCACGTTGACTGCACACTGTAAATATCAACACCAACATTAACATAATCCATATCTCTCTGGGCAGTGATGCAGGTTAACAAAAACCCCAAACCTTTCTATTTAACTGGAGCAGCCAATTGCACGATTGAAGAGCTCAGGTCTTTTAGAAGCATTAAATGTGATTTGTGCATTCGAGCCACTGTGTGGGTTTGAAGTTTATCCAGGATTTAGCATCACTGATTGAAACAACTGACAGAAAATCTGGGTGCTGAATCACTTGGAACACAAGATTTTGAATGCTTCACCCTTGGTTTTTTACTGAAGGATATTATCCCAAATCTCCAAGCTGCCTGTTTCCTGATACATGAGGCTTTAACAGATACAGCTACATTTAACAACAAACCACCTGGGAAAAAACAGCTCTTAAGACTTATGTGGTGTTTTAAGAATGACCTCAGAAGCATCTCTCTCCACAGCCATTAGAAACCTGCTCAAATACCAATCTGATTTCTAGGGACAGGCGTTACTCCCAAGCTCCTCTTCTTTTTCCACAGAGGGACATGTAAACGTTTGGATTCTGCAGTAAGAGGCTTTAATACAAATAAAGATTCAAATTCAGTTTTGCTGAGGAGAGATGGGACAGGAAGAAGCAGCTGGAAGGGGGTGATTCTGTGTTTCTGGCTGGGTACAGTGGGCTGCCACACTTGTTCAGCAGCTACCGACCTGCATGATTTTCTCCTTCAGGATCCGATGGAAACTCAGCTGCCCCAGGTGATAGAATGGCTGCCATTCCTGTGCCTTCTTGGTTGCAACCAGCAAGTTGGAGATTTCTGAAAGACAGGGAGAGAAAAGGTTCTTTAGGACTTGTCAAAGATAACGGTATTCACCTCTCAGTCAGCAACATTGCTGCATATGCTCACTGCAAAGTAAACCCCACATGAATGAGGAAGAGGGAGAAAAGAAGAAACTCTGACTTACATTCTGCTCAAGTAACTGCTGTCATTCAACAGAGAATTCACTAAAGCAGAGCTACATCTATCACCCACACAGTGTTAGTATTAGCCATATTGGGGCTGATACTAAGAAACTGAAGAGTGTTTACTGCACAGAGAAATACCCAGGACTGAAAGAGGTGATACCTCTGCTGTACACTAAGTAAAACAGCACATTCCCTCCTTCCCAGTGTGCAGATGGGTAAGGGGAAGCTGGAGTCTCATTTCTTCTCTTCACTGCCTTGAAAACTTCTTGCACCCTTGGAAAAACCAACAGGCTGTTTCCAGAGCACTGGAATTAAATTAAGGAATGGGAAATGACAGAAGGAGAAGACTCAAAAGGCTGGTTCTTCCTCCCCACTGCTTCTGGTCAGGGAGAGGCATGGTTAGATCCCAAAGCCTTGCACATGAGTTTTGTCTTCCTGTGCTGAACAGCAGGCATTATTTATTACAATACAATGGCCTTAGATGTCTGTGTGCATCTGGCCTTCCCATTTCTGTGAGCAGCACATGTGCATCAGGGCTAAACTGGGATCTAGCACTCTGAAAACAACCAGTCATGAATCATACACTGGAAACCAGCTTTATTTCTGCATTATTTTTTGTGAATAACCAATTAAATAGATTCAAACAGAAGGAAAGAAAACTAAACAGGGAAGAGACAGAACAGGGAACAGCACAGATAATGTGCTGGATCCCACTGTAATTCCAGTGAAAAGCTGAAGTGGGCAGTCGACTCCTTGACTCATTTCATTTTATTCCAAATACAGCTGTCAAAATGTAGTCAAAATGTATGATCTCTCCATGCTCCAGGCAGTTACCAAGGCTCCTCAAAGTGCTGCTCTAAGCTCAGTGTCCATCTACAGAGAAGTCTCCTCTAAAAGCATCAGAACAAGCAGGTAATTAATGCAGCTCAGTTATTTCCCTTCTTCGAACAGGAAACCACTATCAGATCACACAATCACACCACTGTGTTTCCCCTTCCATACAACACTCAGCTGCAAGACACTTGTAGTTTATAGCAAACCATTTCAGCAAGTGCTGGCATTGGCAGTTTAACAAATGCAGGATTGTCCCAGCCCTCTCAGATCTGACCTCCCAGATGGATTTACTGGCGCCAAGGCTGTTCTGCTTGCTAACAGTTGCAGACCAAGCTTTCCCTGCTGCTTCATGATTAATAGACTAAACAACAGCTCAATATGAGAGCAAACAAGCTTCAAACCAGAGGTTTCCACACAACCACTGCAGGCTGCAACCCTCCTTTGTCAGAGGAGCATGACGTGATGAACGCTGACACTGCCTGGCATATGTGACACGGTGGAGCAAAGGAAGAACCTTACATGGTCCCTGCTTCACCACAGCGCTTCAGCCCTTGGCTCTGAGTCAGCTGTGCCATTTTCCCTTCAGACCAATCTAGAGCCCACCTCTGCAGGGCCAGCTTCTAGGTGCAAAAAGGGAAACCAGAACTTTTGTCCATGTCGTGTGAAAAGTTCACACAAAGAAGGCTCATGAGAAGCACCACCCCCTGAGCATCCTGTGCTGAGCTTGTAACGTGGAAAGGAAATCCCCAAAACCTTGTTCACAGGGCTTGGGTTTGCTTTTTGATACGACTCCTCCTCCACAGTGAAGGAAGAAACCTTAAATATCATTTCTTAAGTGACAAATGAGCTTCACATGAGGACACAGAACAAATCAGACACCAAGAATGCCTCTTCTCCTTGGAGTTTGTTTCCTTTCAACAAAAAGTTTGCTGCCTCTCTTAAAGGACACTCTACCTCTTGGTTTTGGTTGGCAGCACCTCTTCAGTGTAAAGCTTATGTTGTCTGTCCGAAGTATTTGTCCCTTCAGGTGATCCATCAGCTCTTTCAAGGATGAGAAAGATTTGCTGGATCCATGTAGGAAGTACCCGCCTTTCTTCACTTCAATCTGGAAGTTCTTGTACTGGACTGAACTATTTACCATCTGCTATTAGGGAGAAAAGGGGGAAAAAACCAAACTATAATCATTAAAGTGACAGAATGTTTGTTAAGCCACAAAAACTTCCCAAAAGCCTTTGAAATTACAGATAAGACCAGTAATCACTTCCCTCTATGCCAGGGTCCTCCAACTGCACTCCAACAAAGTAGAGACAGCTCAGAATTCCTGGAACCTTCAGTCCCAGGAAGACTTGTAGTAACAGAGTGGGAGAGCAGCAATGTAAAGATGCAATCACCTAATGAATTCTGGCTTCTGTGTTTTGCAGAGCCTGAGAGTATGTGGAAGCCCTGACTCTTTCTGAAGGAGTCTTCTCATCACTTGATCAAGAATTGCAGAAGCTGGACCATGGTTTCAACATCTCCACTTAAAAATAGCAAAACTCCCTTTCACAACCCAGATTGTTCAACAAGTGAAACAAGATTTCAGGCTCTTGCTCACACTTTCCAGTTTCAAAGGACTGAACTTCTGCACTTACCTATCTCAGCCTTTTCAAGGCTTCTGCCTCACCTCTCCCTTTCCTCTTGAAGCCTCACAAAGAGGTTGAATGTTTTCCAAGACAAAATTAATTTCTTATTTCAATGCATCTGTTGCCCTGTCTTTTAGAAATGTCTACAGAAGATGAACCCAGTATCAAATATCCCTTCTTGACCTCATGGTTGATTCTACTCACATGTATTTCTAAGGGAAGAACAGCAGCTTATATGTGTTTATGCTATTATTATCCTTGTGTGAACACCTGAAGTATTTTCTCCAAAGCAGCAAGTCAGAAGCAGACTTCAGCTGAACTTCTGTGCAGCTCCTGCGTTCTTCTTTTCTACTTCTCTTTCTACTTCTCTTTCTACTTCATTCTACTTTTCTACTTCCTGCATTCTTCTTTTCTACTTCTCACCATCACATCTGGTTTCCTCACCTATCCCACATCATGAGCTTTTGCTTATCAATCACCTTTCAAGAAGTATGTTCCACCAGCTAACTTTATCTATCTCCTGTGGTGTTCTACATGTAAAGGCAACTGTCCTCATGCACTGTTCTTTTACAGTGTGACAGGAGAAATACATTCATATAATTAAACCCATGTTCAAGAAACATTAGCTAAGTTGCAGTGACAAATTGTGTATGCCATCCTTGCACCATATGAGTTTAAAATGCTTAATTTCAACCATGTTCTTGCACAGCTTTATTGCTATGACTGGAAATGTTCTGGGTGTCATGAATCATCTTTGTGGATACAGCATATTTGTAGAGAGTCTGGGGAAAAGGAAGCTATGAGTACAATTCTCTACCCTCCTCTGCACCAGCTATCACACGGATGGCAGGGTGACTGCCCTCACGAACACAAATGCATGAGCATGGATTACAGGGAGCTGCTAGTCTTCAGCTCATTTTCAGATTACTGCTGGGGCTCCACACTCGACCTACCTCTGAGCCTTCAGAACAAGTCACTGTCATGAGGATGTGGTTAAAGTTTGTGCAGCTCCACCTCAGCACATAACTTCCTGCTTCGTTCCCTTCCTGGCGCAGCTTGTTGATGGCGTATTCCGTGCTGAAAGAGTCAATGTACACATGAGGAAAACCAACAAATAAGCAGTTGCATCCCAAATCTATTATTAGGAAACACACAGGAGAATAATCCTGTATTTGGAACAAAAATGTGTAACAGCAACTTAGAAATATTTATATCATTAAAACATGATTTAATTGTGTGCATTACACACGCTCGCATTCAGCTGCACAGAGCAAGGGAAGAAACCTTTGTTAAGCTCTTAGCATGCGTAATGGGGAAATTCCACATCCAACACAGCGCACACATAAACTCTCAGTTTGCTACATTTAAACACACAAAGGAAAGGCAAAAAGGTGCAAGTGTTCAAGGCCAGGTTGGACACAGGGGCTTGGAGCAACCTGCTCTAGTGGAAGGTGTCCCTGCCCGTGGCAGGGGTTGGAACTGGAGGAGCTTTAAGGTCCCTTCCAACACAAACCAGTCTGGGATTCTATGATTCTATGAAAGGAAAATAATTGCTTTAGGTATTTAAAACAACAAAGGACTTTGTTCAGCCACCCAAGGACTCCTGGGGTCAGTTCAATGCTGTTTACCTAAAATATTCCCATCTGTTCAACAGACAATGATCTTCGTATCTATTAGTGAAGAAGCCTCAAAATACTCCTATAATAGGAAACACTGGGTTTAGAGATGAGTAAATGTATGCAGAGAGAAACAGTGATGGGTTTTTTCCACATAATCCTTAGCAAACTTAAGTTGTTCTACAACCTTTTGATCATGAACAGCCTTCCAAAAGTCCTATTTCCTCAGTGGAACCAGTATCCTCAATGCAGCAGTATTAGAGGAGTAATTATTCAAGTGGAAAAATAACAATCAAACATTTTACTAACCAAATGGGTCCGTGGCATCCGTTTTTTATGTTGTGCTCAATCAGTGGGGGAGCCACATCTGTGCAGAGGTAATGGTGAGCATCTGCTGTAAGTCTGAAGTACCCATCTATCAACGACGCGAATGACAGGGCCTCATCATGTGAGGACAGCTTTAATTCCTACAACAAAAGGGTACTTTAGTAAAGAATTCTTATGGTCCTGATAAAACATTTCATGATGTTTCAATATCCAGAGATTTTTTAATAAAGTGGCTAAAAAATTGGCCAGAAACCTTCAATAGAAAACCACATTTAGGGAGCCGATGCTGACCATCCTCTGTCCTCCCCACCCATTACTGGCTAGAAACTTTGGTTCTCCAGCATGACACGTTCTGCTGTAATCCTACACAAGATCTCTAAGGCAAATGCTTGTGTCAGCCTTTGTGAAATGCCACAGTTCAGGAATGGGGCAGTCACAGTGGACTTGAAGCCAAGAGCATTTAGGCAGCTCCTTTCCCAATTCTAAGAGCAGGCAGCCCACAGCAAGAAGAATCACTCTGAACACTTAAATTGCATATCTAGAAACCTCCTCTCCTTCTTTCCCAGGTTGTGTCTGTATCTATCTCTTCTTTGCCATCCTTGATGAGCACCTTTCTTGACGCTGCTTGTGGCTATCCAAGGTGTACATAGGAAGGCCATGGGCTGAGAAGTGCAGCAAGGAGGCCACCAGGCACTGGTGGTATGCAGTAACAAGTGTACAGAATCAACAGTGCTCACCAACTTGCTGCTCTTCTAACTAACACTTCTGCACCTGTACAGTGTTAGGGACAGCATATTTAACTGTTCAAGAGTTAAAGTGTTCCTCAAGGAGCTTGTCACCTCTTGGCCCAACAACATTGCATCACTAGAGCTTCCCAGGGGAGAGAACCCTATCCAAGGTTTGGTTCTTACCATCCTTTTGTTATCCTGCTTGTTAATGCTGACTGTAGACTCCTTGATGACAATGTGAGTGATTTCAGGAAAATAAGAGAAGTTGTTCCACGTGTCTTGAATTTTGTGTTTTTCTTCATCCTTTCTGGTTTTAACATCAGTTTTCTTCTTCTTCTCTTTCTCTGTCTGTCCAGACTGCAAATAGATTATGGATAAAAGTATACTAACAAAAACATGTATTTTTTAGCAAAGTGTTTTTACTGTAAAACAAAAATTGATGACAAACTAATCTTCCAGAGCTATTCAGTTCTTGTATGCTTTTTGCATTGAATTATCAATTCATTTACATGTTCAGTGTATCTGTATTGCAAGGATATACTTCCACCATGAACTGTCCATGAGACAGAGGCTTATGAGGATGAAAGCAAGCAGTCATTAGATAGGTGACTTCCTTCTCTCTTGGCAGGTCTGAAGGGTCACAGGAAGGTTCTCACTGAGATGAAAGTCTTTGCTTTAGGGATTTAAATAAGTACAATCTATAAATTAGCAGAAGCAGGAGCCTTACAAGAAACAGGCTGCATTTCTTGCAAGATTTTCTGCTCAAATATCGATTCTTCTTTCCCTCCCCCTCGTTAATATTATCATTTAAAACAGAAATTCCCCATCAGATATAGTTAAGTTACATCTAAATGGAGTGAAACACAACAGTTTCTGTTACAAAAGATAGTTATTGGTAGGGTTCTCACCACTCTGGGGAACTGAAGCAAGCAAAAAGAGGCTGTTTTTCAAGTATTATATGTGGAGAAAAACTGAGAATGTGCCATAACCCCTTCAAACCTGGAGCATATTTGTGACCACGAAGTACAGAAGAGGGTTAAGCAAAGTCACCTCAATTAACAGCACTGAAACAGGGAACGTCATGTAAAATATCACCGAGGTGAGAAAGCTTAGCTTTAATGTCACCATGTTTTAGTTTATTGATGAAAAGTCTGTGAGTATGAGCAAATACAGCACCTGGGGTGCCATATACGGACAGTATTAACAGACTTTGGTATCAAGACAGAGCACCAAACCCTAAGGACCTCCACAGACATTAATCTTTCAAGACTTGTGTCTGGTCTGACAGACACATAGAATCACAGAATGATTTCAATTGGAAGGGACCTTGAAGACCATCTAGTTCCACTTAGATGCCACGGGCAGGGACACCTTCAACTAGACCAGGCTGCTCCAAGCCCCATCCAACCTGAATCTTGAACACTGCCAGGGATGAAGAATTCAGAACTTCCTTAGGGCAACCTGTTCCAGTGCCCCAACACTGTGTAGTCTTTAATTATACAGGAGAGTCTTTAATTTTCCTGCTAAACAGGTTGCCCACAGGGCCTGTGCAGTGCCCATCCTTGGAAGTGTTCAAGACCAGAATAGATAAAGCCCTGAGCAACCTGGTCTGATCTCAAAGCTAACCCTGAACAGGGGGTTGGGACTAGACACCTCCCGAAGGTCCCTTCCAACCTGCATAAATCCTACAAAAGAAGTCCTTCCAATAAAAAGCTGATCCACAGGGTCTGAAGATCATGACCACTTTTTACCAGTTGTTATGCCCCCGGAAGCAATCCCCTAACTCCCATTTATCGAGGGGTACTTACATTTGGCTTGAGCCTCCACTGAATTCCATTGTTTCCCGTTACGATGACTTCATACAGTGGGAGCACCTCATTGTCTCCACAATTTGATCTCTTTATTTCATTCTCAGATGAAAACAGCAAAAAAGAAGTCTCAAAAATTTCTGCTCCATAATGTTTGGTCAAGGTCTCCATGGTTGACAGGTATTTCACTTTCAGATCCCGTGAAGTCACGCTACTGTCGCAAATGGTTTTGTTGTTAAACTCTTTAAGGAAATGCTTGAAAACATTATTTATCCGAATCCTGGTTAAGAAATTCCTCTGTCTGATAGTCTTGTTCAGAGTTTCAGGAATGTAATGCTTGTAACTAGAAGGAAAAACAATGCTATGAGTTAATACTGTTGCCTCCTAAGCTTTTAACTCTAAAACATGCAGCTGCCTTACTTGGAACGTTACAGAGAACAAGATGCAGTAAACCAGTGCGCAGCCGGCACTGTAGCAGTAGTTTACAGCATTAATAGCCAACAGCAATTCAGGTAATAACCTTATCTGAAAGCTTTTTGGTCAGATGGATACAGCCCACTTAAATCAATAATTAAATTGATTTATCCTAACTGTTTTCTCATTAGGTTGCCATTTAACGCTGTCATTTCTGACCCTACTAACCCAGAATCCTGAATTTACAGCAAGCCACTTGGTACCCAACACATCAGTGTGCTGGCTGCACTAGCTTCATACATTTCAAATACTGTCCAGATGAGAAAAAACCTCAGGTTTTCTAATACATATCCCTGTTGACAAGATTAGGAAGACCCACTTAGCAATAGTAGTGTTGGAACTTCTAACTCCTGTACAGTTGGACCCTGGAAGGTAAAATGGTTGAAATCCCTTCTGGAGAAGAAGTGCAGCAGACCCAACAAAGAAAAGAAGTTATCCCAGCTCACCTCATATCTTTGGGAAGCTCTGGAAGCTTCACATTTTTCTTGATGGCATAGTGAGAGATGGCAAGGACAGCCATGCCCAGACATTCGTTTTCAATTTCATGAACCTCTTGATCATTTTTAGGATCACGGATCGGTGCCAGGCCTTTCACCAAGTCGTACTGGCCCTTGATAGGAAGCAAGGAAACAAAAAGGCTACCAGATTTGTCATGGTTTATCTATGAGCAAGCAATATGTCACAAGATCTGAGGCTCTCCTTGAGCAAGAAGAGCCACCCAAAACTGAAAGCCAGGACAGGAAGGGGTAGGAAGAGAAGGGAAGAGCTGTGCAGTAAATGCAGTCTTCTTTGACCAGCAAAACAGAAGCAGAGGCGAGCACGAGTCACCCACAAACCCTGCCTATTTGAGAAGAAACCAACATTTGTGCCTGATGGAAGTGTTTTACGACAGTTTGTGGAAGAGGTGGAATCACCACAGGGATTGTCACAGCATATCCCTCCCACAGCTGTCCATAGCATTGTGATTTTCACCAGGAACATGTGCAGACACCCAGGTAGAACACCGCACTGCTCAGACACTTCCAGCACCCCTGTCTTCTTCGTTTATATATTAACCCACACCAAAAATTAACTTTTCTTGTAATTAGCTAAAGAAAGCATCACCCCTGCCCCCTTCCTGCACCATCATGATTTTTTTATTCTGCTATACAGTAAGTACTTGGTGTGTCTGTTTTACCTCTGCTCCTCATCACCTCATGGCTGGTCTCTTCTCCTAAGTGACAGGACAGGAGGAAACAGCCTCAAGCTGCCCCAGGGCAGGTTTAGCTGGAGCTGAGGAACAATTCCTTGCCCAGAGGGTGCTCAGGCATTGGAACAGGCTGCCCAGGGCAGGGCTGGAGTCACCGTCCCTGCAAGTGTTCACAGCCCGGGTAGACGAGGCCTCAGTGCCAGGGGTTAGTGGTGGCCTTGGCAGGGCTGGGAATGGTTGGACTGGATGAGCTGAAAGGGCCTTTTCCAACCTGATTCTATGTCTCTATGAACCACAGAATACCAGGTTGGAAAGCACCTCAAGGATGAACCTCACACACAGTCTCTAAGCCACACCTCAAAGCCAAAACTGCAAACTCTGTGGCAGCCGCTTTGCTTGGTGACTGCTTGAAAAATATTTGGGTTAGCAGCAAAGACACTTCTGTTGCCTTATACCAGCATCAGCGTTTTTCTGTTTGCCCTTTTTTGAATGTTATTACCCAAAAGTAAATGCTTAGTGCAACACTATCTGACAATATCCATTAGGGTCCCTACTCACTCCACAACTTTAATAGCGTTTTCATTCTTCTTGAACAAAAATAGTTGCTTCTTTTACTACTTTAGAATGCAACGTGGCACCATTAAAATGCACACATAGCTGCAGCTAACTTGGGCGTTTTCTTTTATTGTGGTTTCACAGTAAACAAGGATTCACTGGAGCAGCTTCACATTATTTCTTTCGCTGAAGGACACAACCATATTTCATTCAAAGCCTGAAAGTTCTGCAGTAATTATACTCAGAATTAACAGTAAACAAGTTCTTCTCAGTACACTTAGTTTGCTCATTTCACAAGCCTTCATCAACTTTAATGTTACCATTTCTCTGGTGAAACCAGTTAGTTTGTGGTTTGCAGAATCATTTGTGTGTATACAAACCTTTCTGTACACGAGCACAAGCTTTCTGTAATAGGGACCCTGCTTTATTTGCCATGACCAGTGTGCTGGATGTACTGCCAACAAGGGGAGGCACAACACAGGGAAGGAAAAAGAGCATGGAAGGGCTGTGTGACAGGGGTTATTACTAGCCAATGTTTTAATACCACACAGTAAAAACCCTCATTAAAAGGACACCATACTGTCCGTTTTAATACTCCCACTGCTCCTCTGTAGGACTACAGATGTCAAAGTTACTGCAAATGTTTCACAAAAGAAAAAGTGATAGCATTTATATCCAAAAATAGTTAATACTGAAAGAAAATGCAATAAAAACATAGCCCTTTATGGACAGTGAGATAGTTTCTTACACACCTTGGGTAGATTCTTACGCACATATGGGTAGATTGTTCTTCCTATAGCACATTTTCTCTCCACCACGCAGAATTACGAAGAAAACACTTATCAATACTAACAGGTAATGTTACATGTACTTCAGAAGTCTGAAAATAGGTCTTTAAAGCAGCTTCTACTGGATCAAATAGTTTTTGTGTGACTACAATGGCAGAGATACTTGCAAGCAATCTTTTACCTGGGCAAAGATGTATTCTAATGAGTTTGCATCAAGAATAGGGGTTCCTTCTGGTCCCAGCTTCTTCTCATAGTTCTTTGCCTTCCTTGGGAAATGCCTCCACACTGGGGGTTCATTTTCACTTGTCCCATGCCAGTTTGTAAAGTAGTATCTTGCAAGAAAAGAGGAACAGACTTTAGAAACTTCTGGGGAAATCCTCATTTATATCAGATACGTATTTTAAACTTCTAAAAGAAAACCAGTCAAAAGTCAAAATCCATCAGTCTTCTGCCCTGAGGTTGGAACTTTAGTGGTCACTGCTGAAACCTCACTCCTGGCCTGAGGAAATGGGGAAAAACTGGGGGAAACTGGTCTATTACTCAAAGGTTTTCAGCATTTCCACTCAACAGGTATCTCACTCTTGGTACAACACCATGCCTGACTGCCTGTCACATCCTCCTGCAAGAAGCTGCCACCCAGATGACAGTGATGTTTCCATCACCTCTGACATTGCTTGAGCAGTGTAGGAGTGTTAATACTCTGTGCAATGGTTGGCATTAGCATTCCAAGGTAAAATGACTCCTCGAAAGGGCTAACAAGACTTCAGAACTCTTCATCTATTGGCACTGAAGCAATGAACAAGGCAGGACTGTGAGTACCCCCTATGGCTGGAGCGGGAAGTAGTGTGATGCTTCCCTGGAATTTTGGCTTCTCTCACTCCCTGGAATTGCTGCTTCCTGCTGGTTTTGATGGAGCTGGTGAAAAAGGCACTAATCCAAACCATCTGGCTTTAAAGTGACACAGTCAATTGTGTATATTGGCAATCAAGCTTTTTGCTCATATCTGTACACCAAGATATTTAACTGAAAACCTGCTAAACGAGTTGGCATCTGCTAAAAAAAAACTAGTTTAGAGTTTAAGCCTCTGTTAGCAACTTCTGAGAAATCTTTGCTGAGACAGGCTGAGAGAGCTGGGCTGGGTCAGCTGGAGAAGAGAAGGCTCCTGAAGGGGAGACCTTAGAGCAGCTCCAGGGCCTAAAGGGGCTCCAGGAAACCTGGAGAGGGGCTTTGGACAAGGGATGGAGGGACAGGCCAAGGGGAATGGCTTGAACCTGCCAGAGGGGAGATTGAGATGAGCTCTGAGGCAGAAGCTCTCCCCTGTGAGGGTGCTGAGGCGCTGGCACAGGGTGCCCAGAGAAGCTGTGGCTGCCCCATCCCTGGTAGTGTTCAAGGCCAGGTTGGACACAGGGGCTTGGAGCAACCTGCTCTAGTGGAAGGTGTCCCTGCCCGTGGCAGGGGTTGGAGCTGGAGGAGCTTTAAGGTCCTTTCAACACAAACCAGTCTGGGATTCTGTGATGAATGAAGCATTACGTATCAGATTTCTCTTTAAGAGGTGAGACTTTCTGTACTCTGTTTCTGTCCATCGTTTCTTTTTGATAAGTCTTTTTAAGTCCCCAAAAAGCCTGCAGCTATGGCATGAGCTGGAACACCAAACCACAGCTATGTCAAACACTCCTGACAATACTGTAGATAGTGCAGAACTCCCAGGGAAGGAGCAGTTTTGCACTTCACGCAGTCGATCTGGCCAATGCTGGAGGAGGACCTGCCGCTCTCTTTCACCTACTCCAGTTCTGACAGTCCTTCCTTCCAGAGGTGCCAGAAACAGGTCCACCAAGTCCCTTCTCCACACCAAGAAACACTGATACCTCTGGCTTAAACACAGTGCAGCCACAGAGCAGTTAAACTCCTCCGTCAGCTGGTGCGATAACTAGTCCAGGATATTATGAAATTCTGTGGTTTCTGATGTTGTAGTTTTTTGTTCTTTTAAACTTGGGGCAAGTGAAAGAAATACAGGACCACTTAAAAAGTTCCTAGTGAAAAGCAAGTCCTTTTAAACTGCTTCCAGAAGTACAGCAGCTGGCACAGATGCGATGGGGAAAGGAGGAGGACGGGAAGTTCACACAGTCAGAAACCAAACCTAAAGCTTTCAGCAGTGGGACAAAATTCAAAACATCTAAAAGCTTTTGAAACTACTCAGTCACACACCTTCATTCTATATATATAATATTAACAGGACACGACTAAATCACATCTATCGATGTAATGTCATTTCGGAAATAAGGTTGTCCACATAAAAATGATTTAATGACTAAATGATCATATACAGACTAACACAGTGCACTATTACATAAGGCCAGATCGTTTTCCTTTTTCAAGAGGAATTCTGCCTCTTGCAGAGCTCAAAATAAACAACATTCATGTAGGGAACAGTTTCACAATCCTGCGTTGCTCGCCATTTTTCAGGGCTCTGCCCTGCTCTCAGTTCAGATGCCCAAGCCAAGACACACAATAGATCAGAATTGAAAGGAAGGAAAATACCACTTCACCAATACAGTATTCCAAGGGAGATGGGAATCTTTATTTAGTGCTTAACTCATATAGCCTCTTCTTAAATGCATATGAAATGATTTAAATACATATTATTGGCCCCAAAGTTTGCCAAGTTTCATGCATGGAGTACATCTGACAAAAGAAATGTCCCTGCCAAACTTCAAATCCCAGCTCCAAAGCTTAAGAAAATAAACCACCAGAACTTTTAAATATAGAAAGCAGGGCATTTTCCATAGCTTCAGTCCATAAGATGGTAGAAGAAAAGAATTTCCAGAAAACAAAGTTCAGCATAGATTAATTTTGCCCATATACCTAACATTTGATGGTTACAAACAGCCTAAGGTCTGTAAGAGGGAGCTGTTCCAGCAGTTTTAGAGAAGGTGGTGGTACCCACTCTGCAGGTAGGATGCAGTAGGATGAAAGAGCACCTGGAGGGAGCTCTCATCGTTCACCCAAAGCAGAAACATATTCACACCAAACAGAGCAGAAACTACTTTCTAATCATACGTCTACTCAGAGGATTAAATTCCCACAAATACACTCTTAAAATACCACCTTCTTTTACAGAGAAAACCAGACCATATCAAGGAAATTCAATATTAGGGGAAAATACCCCAAATTTGCCTTAAACCAAGAAATTCTTTTATTATCCAGTATATGGTTAATCTGACTGATGTCTTAAAGCATGAAAAGGCACTTAATGCTCTGTAAGAGACCATTAGAGCCCTCAGAGATTCTTTCAGAGTCACTCGATTCCATTACTGTATAGCATTTATCTGCCAAACTTAATCACAGCTGTTTAAATCTGAGATTAGCCAAGGTTAAGTCATTAATACCACCAATAGTCTGTGTTAAAGTAAAAAGACAAGACTATAGTATCCTCTTCTAAAAATACACGTAGGTATCATAATTACTTGAAAAGCAAAGATCTTTTTGCTGACTGTGTTCTTTTTGTCTCATATCAGTTCATCCATCAAAAATAACAATTCCAGCCTGGTACAAATGCGATCAGAATTGAAACAGTTTACGTTCAAAGATCCCATTTTCAAATCTCTCTTTGTATCTGCAATAAGCAAAGTGGTTGTTACCCTCCATCAAGCCTAGAAAACAGTTTGAATGCACAAACTGCAGTTTCTACAGGCCAGTTCTCCCATTAGCATGTACAAGTGACAGTCATGTGGTTTAACTAGAGATTATCAGGAAAAAGATATTAATATCCTATATTATCACTTCAGTTTTTTTCTCTATAGCCCAAACTGACCATGTATGTATTAAATTTCAAGGCAGAGGGAATATTACATAGAAGTTTATTTTCTTACAGTTGTACCTTGAAGAATCAACACAAATGGTCTGTGGACTTGCTTTAGAAAGAGGGATAAAGTTTCTGCACTAACTAATCCTGAAAGCAAAGTTTATTCTATACATTTTTCTCCTGTATCATACACAGCTCACATTGATGCAAGAAGAAAAGTCAGAATAAAACTCAAGAAAATAAGGCAGTACAACGTGCAGAATTTGGTTTCTATCAAATCCTAAAAGGAGGACATCCTTTAGGCAGAGTATGTGAGAGTGCTCAACAGCTGTCAGCATTACTGCTTGCCTTTTCCAGTGGTTGAGGGCTGATGTGCACATTCAGCCCCAGAGATGGAAACGGGCTACATTCTGTATCGTAAGAATGCCACCTGAAGTCCAACCTGATGGTACTTGTTGGATAAATGGCAACAATGGTTTCTGTTGTCTGATGCTTCCTCCAGTGTAGTGCATGCCACCCACAGCGAGGTCACACGGATTCCCCTACTGCCCTAGAGGAGCATTTCCTAAGCAGCAGCATGTTGCTTTTTCCTTTCAAGTTAGTAGTAAAATTCCCATTGACTTAATGAGGAGCACAGCTCACTGTGGGCACTTCAAATGGAAATTGAAACATGCACAATACTGACCTAAGAAAACATTTCTGAGCCTTTTGGTTTTCAGCTTTTAGCTAATTCCATCACCACAAGCTTTGTGAGTTCTTGTGGGTTTTCAGCTTCTGGGGCTTTTCTTCAAGGTTATGTAGCAAAGATGAAAACAAAAATCAGGAGACATTTTAAGCCTTTACAGTTAACCTCTTATCCACGCTGTGAAAAGCAAGCTGCTTCCTTTGCTTTTGCTTTTCTGTTTCTTCAACAGAAGGAGTCAGAGCATCTACATATGGTTAAAGAATCATTTCTCAGACGTTTTACACTTACCTCATTCGATAATGGAGGCGGTATGATGTTTTTTCATCTATCTTAAAGACCTGGTTTGGTGCATACCAGAGTCTTTTGTTCTCATCATACAGTGCAAAGAGATTATGGCACAGAGGAGACACAGCTGTCAGAGAAAAGCAAACAAGCATATGAATCACAAGGCTACAGTGCACATGCACGCCCCAAAAATACAAACGCATAAAGCAAACATCTGATCTTGCAAAACAGACCATAAAAAGAAACTGATACTGGGATTAGTTTAAAACAAACAGTAGAAAATTGTGGGTGAAGTGGAACTGCAAAGTGCACATTGGCTCACCCCATCGTTTACAGGATGTATTAAACCTATTTCAGCTACTTCAAACATTAAACTTAATTCTCAAATCCTGATTTTGCCAAAGGTTTTTTATCTTAAAAGAATCTAACTTGAAAATCTTCACCTTTTCCTGATCACAGAAATGGGTGTTTGAACAAAACCACTACTTTGTTCTCAGTTTTATTTTGTTAATAAACTTTACTCCCATAGTCGAAAGAGAAGGATTTAGTGAAATGATGAAAATCCCCTTTCTGTTATCAAACAAGCAGAAAACAGAATGTGTCATTTTTCCATTCTTTACTAATTCAACAGAGGCTTTTCCAACAAAGAACAAGGCTTGGACTTGTACCTCTGGGCTGACCTGCTTTAACCTCTGCATTTACATCACCCAGGACAAGAACAGGCTACGGTATGTTTACAGGTCTAGCCTTGTTTGACTTCCTTGCTTCAGTTTCCTGCTCAGTAGGAGGCAATAAGGCTTTGGTCAGGCAATGAGCTCTGTGGCATGTGCTTAAGTGTCTTTCTGAAGTCAGGCCAACTGCAGAGCACTTTGTTGGGGTCCTACAGCATTCAGTGAAACTATTTCTATTGTGAACTGTGGAGAGAGCAGAAGAGGAGAAGCCAAGGAAACAAAAACTGAGAAGCCTAAAGGTGGGGTTGGGCAGCCACTGCCTTCTGCAGCTCTTTCCGATGGAAGAGAAGCAATTAGGCAAATGAACTGAAGATACCAAATGCTACAGGAATCAGGATGGTATGGGAGAACATTTTAAAGCTGCAGGAAAGCTTAGGCCCAGTTTGCCCATTTATACAGCCAGATTCACCACTTCCGTATCAGCTAAATGATATTTAGTTTTCCGTGTTTTGTGGAACACAAAATTGGGATCAGGGCAGGAAAGAACCTTTAAATATAAAAGTACACTGGTTCCTGAGGCTGAAAAATAGATTAAATACACTCATTCCAGTAGAATTACATATATGTTCAAGTATTTTGCTGACTCAAGGGCCACAGTGACAAAGCGAGACATCTTCGTCATACATTTATGCATTATTGCAGTTGTGTGCAGTTCAGGTAATCTTAACTGGTGAGTAACTCACTGCAAAGAAGTGTCAAGTAAGAGAAAACTGAAACTAGCAAATAGTTTTTAGTTGTTTTTTTTTTTTTTACCATTAACCCTCTCCAAACTGTTTTATCAGATGGGACAGATCCTGACAGGCCTACCAACTGTATATGAGGGAAAATGAGCTTTGTGTTAACTTCTATACAGTGTCTCCTCTTCTCTTAAAAGAAACCTAATCATGCCACCCAAATTAAAATGTCAGTGCCTGCATCTGCCAGAAACAAGGGTGGGAGCTCATCACTTCAGTGAATCTCAAGGCAGTCTCTCCCACCACGTCTTTCACTCCAAGCAGTTTAAGAGCTGCCCCAACCGACTCTAGACTACTAACAGGAGTATTTCTTCCACAGACATTGACTTACATGCAGAGAAGGATGCATCACTTTCAATACTGTCAGGCCTTGAGAACTTAAAGAAAACCCATATACTCACAACACCTCTGGGCCGCTTCAATGCACAGCTCCTCCGAGGTGAACTCGCCACTGGTGTAAGAAATGGGAGTTTTATCTTGCAGGTAGAAAAGTATTTCTAAACCCTGATGCTGAGCTTCCAGGTTTACTTCGCTCTTCTTTGTGCTCCTCATCTTTGCACAGAAAGCCATGGCTTTGCAATCTTCTTTTACGTTTAGATACTGAAAGAGGAGGAAAAATAGTTAAGCAAAATGTGAAGAAGAGTTTATTTGTGAGAACTCAAACCCATTGCTGAATGAGGGTACTGCATACTACTACGGGCTAAGCACAGCATTCCTCAAAGTCTTCACATTGGGGAACCTCATTATTCCAAATCAGCACTTTTCACAAAAGAGGGGAAAAGTGGGAAAAAAAAGACATGTCAATGATTATTCTGTTTCTGGTAACTCTGTTCCAGATAATTCCTTTCTGCTTTGGTGGTTCCACAACTATTCTAGAAGGTTTCTCTTCTCACTGTAAAGCAGGAATAACTTTCACATCCTTAAGAAGTTAACTGGCTGGAAAACAATACTTGAGGCCGAGTAATATAAACAGTACAATTCATATTTCCTTTAAAAATAGAAGCTCTTTTTGTTTTACAGTCTCCTTAACAGCTAAATATTTGGTAGTTTTCTCCCCTCTCACCCTTTGTTTTTAAACTCCTGATACTTAACGTGTCACGGTGAAATGAGCTTTATTGGAGAGTTGTTATTTATTCTTACTTCTCTCTCTCCAGAAGGAAAGAGCAGCACTAAGTAGGTTTAATGCAATAGCTTTTAGACTGCCAAGAATGCATAAAAGACAGCTCTGACCTGAAAGTAAATCCCTGTTGCATTTTATACCCAGTGCTTAAATAGAAAAAGCAGAAAGGAAATGGATGTACACACACTCTGGGTATTATGGGGTCTGTGTTCCATGTTTTACTAAGCTTTAGCTCAATTAATAACAAAAGCCAAAACCACCAAGCCTATAGTTTACGAAATTAATCCTCCCACCAAAACCAAACAAAACCAAACCTCAAGAGCCAACACACCTGCATTTATGTGACTGTCTGATCCTCTACGCAACTGAAACGGATTATCTTCACGCTCTCCAAGGGCAACTTGACTTTGGCTGACAAAAAAAAGTACAAAACACGTTAGGATTTGCTTTGTACAGTTTCAGACACAAAATATATGGTCAGGCCACTTGAAATCCAAGGGAAACTTCCCATTAATATAACAAGAACTGAATCTAGCCTCAACCAAAGACACTCACAGCAAGCATCTAGGAGTCTGCGTAAGTGCACTGATTTCTTTTGGCTCTTTGGGTGCATTGGCTGAGATGCAAACAAAAAAACAGGGGAGGAGTCTTGGTTATTCTTTCTTTTTCTCCCTTTTATTATATTTTCAGAGCATCGACCATCAGTTTGCAGTCATACTCATTGCAACCCTCAGCTGTGCTACCAAAGGAGCATTCTTCTCTTTGCTTCTCCTTCATGGCTTTTGGAGTCACTTAATTCTTCACACTTTTAACTACATATTGCTAATCCCAGTTTCTCCCCAGTCTCTATTGTTTCTTCCCTGTCCAAATTATCAGGGTTTTTCCTTTGTTTTATTCTCCTTTGCTCTGTGAAAAGTGCAGAGAATAAGGTAACTACTCAAGGGAGTATTATTGCAAGGGTCATATTTCTCTCAGAGGAACCTTCATAGAATTATAGTATGCCAGACTGGTTTGGGTTGGAAGGGAGCTTAAAGCTCATCCAGTTCCAACCCCCTGCCACAGGCAGGGACATCTTCCACTACAGCAGGCACTGGAGCTGCTCTAAGGTCTCCCCAGAGCCTTCTCTTCTCCAGGCTGAACAACCCTGACTTGCAGCCTGTGACTTCAGTGTCTTCAAGCAGCAGAAGCACCTTCCAAGACCCTGCATTTGTTTTTGAAGCCTTATCCAACACCACAAACCATCTCAGTATCCTGGAGCTGGTTTGCAAAACTACTCTCACCCAAAGTTAGAGGTTATCCTGGGCACCTGAAGCAAACCAGGAAAACATCAATACCATATTTTCCATCTTTTTCCAGCGGCAGGTGTGACAGTGCCTCTATTTAAAGCATTGTCTGACACCAGGGCTGTAAAATCAATGAGATGCTACAGGAATATTTAAGAAACAGGTGATTAAGAGGCATTGGTAAGATGTCTCCCTAGTCCCAGCCCTGATTTTAGAGTGTAGAGCATCAGTGAAAAGAGCTGGCCTGCTTGGAAGGCATGGTTGTATGCTTCTTTCCAAAGGTGGCCAGGCTGCTCCTCTCCCATTGGCATGAGAATGAGCCAGGTGGGGACTAGTCTGGACTTCTCGAAGAGAAGGAGGATGTGAGACTCTGTTCTGCACCTCCAGAGAGACTCCTGTCCTCTGGCACTTGTGCTGCATCACTGCCCATCAGCCACAGCTCCATGCTCTCAAGGGGAAACCATCCACGGCTTCTCCTGGGCTAGGCACTAATTAAGTGTGACAGTAAACTCAGTGTGACAAAATGTGTCTAAACTGAACATGACAGTAGTGCTGGGTTGGTTAAACATCACCCATCACTCATCTGAGGCTGAAAGACTCCTCCATTTGTATTCTCCATGCCTCCTTCTTCTCTGCCAAACATACTTGAACTAAATGTGCCTTGTTTTTGCTGCCACAGCAGACTTCAATGACTACTGCTTTATAAGCATTAGGCTTAGTCTGGAGAAAGTCTGACACTGCCACACATCCTCCCCTCTGCTTGGAAACTGTCCAACAAACGTGACACTGCCACAGACAAAAAGAGAACACTTAACAGCACAACACACATTTACAACTGAATTGCATGCTCCTTCCATCCGTGCCACTTTAATGCTAAATTTGAGTTTCCAGACACATCCCCTCAGCAATAACATGGGGAAGAAGTAATCGAGAGCATGATTACTGGAACACTCAGACAAGGCAGTAATTATTCCTGCACAGCACCATCAAATTGAAATGCAAAAGGTTAAAGATATCAGCTTTAACCTAAGTGAAAACACTCCCTTTTAAACAACATATCTTATAAGTGAAATTCAATATATTCTAATGTCTGTGTGGGCATAATATTCAAAAGGTTGTCCAGATGTTTGAAAATATGAAGGGAAATCTAAAACCATTGCTTTCTTGTGGATTCATAAATCAAAATCGTTGCTTTTCAACACAGGGTTCTTTGGTTTTGCTCAATAGCTCCTACTCTTGTTTCTAATCACAGCAGCAATTCCCAGAATGCAAAAAAAATCCACCCTCACGTGCTGCTTCATTTACAATACGCTTTGGGGGATGAACCAAACCAACCAACATCCAGTCTCCAACTTCCTAATGAGTTTTCCAGATACTGCCATGCTCAATGGAATTCACCTTTTTAAGAATGTATCCTAATCTTCCAGAGTGTCTCCTT